ACTTGAAACTGACTGGGCCAGCGTCCCCTGCACAGCCTACACAGTATCTCCATTTCCTTCCCCGCTTTCCACTTCCAGCAACTGCTGGACATGAAGCGCGCGTTCAAACGAACCGCTCCTCCTTCACCGGGGAGATCGAAGAGTGGACTACGAGCCCCACAATGCTCCGCGCGGCCGCATTTTCAGGCGCTCATCGGCCAGCCCGCCCTAATTCCGCATTCTACCACCAGAGGGCGTGTGGTTCCCGCCGTACACAACAAAGGTGTGGAACGCAGTTGGGACACGTTTTTTGGAAACATCTTGAAATAGTCCGTAAATTCTGGACAATAAGTCGACCTCAGTATCTTATTTTTTTAAAAAAAAATGTCTTTGATGAGGATGATATCCGGGCGCTTCGTTCTTTTGAAAGTGGGCTTTAGAGAACGAAGACCAGAGCGCTGGAGGGGAAAGGTCGGGTAAGTGTCACGCGGTTTGTTATTGAGGTTTCCATCCGCCGCCCGCTCCGGATCGTTTCCATTGCAGAGCAGAGCCACGCGGCTTCCGGCGCTAAGCCGTCTGGGAGCGTGAAGGCGTTTCATGGGGGTGTGTGGGGGGGGAAAGAGTCGGTGTCTTGATCCCCGAGGCAAGGTAGGCAGGAAGGAAGACTAGGCAGGTGGGCGCGCGCGCTCGGGATGAGCTGGCGGCGGGGAAGGAGGGGAGCAGGTAGGCCTCGCGCCTCGGATCTTGCCTGAGAGGCGGGGCCGCCTGACCCGGCGGGTTGTTCCCCCGAGGCCGGTTGGGGTCCCTCGCTCCCCATCCTGCCTCCCGTAGGCCAAGAGTGGGTTCCGAATTATACCTCCCGGCGGTCTCCGGAGGGCGAGGGGACCCCGGCCTTCCGTGAAAGGGCGACAGGGGCTCCAGCCCGGGGGCGGCTTCGGAGGGCTTTCTTTCAAGGCCACGTTCGCCCACGCGGCGCCTCCAGAGGGCGGCTTGTTTCGGGATCGAGGCGGCCGGCCCGCTTCTGCCTGGATCGTCCCCCCCCTTATCCCGCCGCAGAGGAGGAAGCGACCGTTGCTCAGGCTCCGCTGCCAGATGGGGGTGAGTGGGGTATGCGTGTACGCGAAGGGGGACCGCCGAGCAGAGCGGTTAAGGCCCCGTTGCAGATCGTCCCTGCCACCCACTCCCGGTCTCCCGCTCTGGATATAAGGAAATCTCTGCCGCCCGTCCAGAGGAAGAGCTTTGTACCCCCACGGGTACCCCCACGCCGTTTGCCTCGCTTAGCGCATTGCTAAAGACTGGTCGAAGATCGGTGGTCGGTGGCGTAATATTGTTCCCTTTCTGTAGAATGAGGGAATTGAGCCACCTGGGGTTTTTCAAAGTAACATGCCACCTCATCCCACTTCAGTAGGCAGGGCACCACCCCTTCCTGGATAGCGCAGAAAAACTGTGGATAAGAGACCCAAACATTCATGGGATATGTCCATACCAAGTCTGCTGGCCTGAGGTGAATTCAGACTTAGATTGCAAACGTCAGCTGGAGGGGTGGAGGGGATTGCAGTTTGGAACACCATCTACCAGCTGCCATTTGCAACCTCAGTCTGAACTTGCCTCAGGCCAGAAGATTTGGCACCGACCTTGGCCATTAATTTGGGGGCCTTTTATCTACAGTTTTTCTGTACTGCCCATGAAGGGGTGGTGTCCAGCTTGATGAAGTGGGTTCTTCTCCACGAAAGCTAGCAGTTTGTTTAATTTTTTTAGAGGTTCAATTAAAGGCATCACCCTGTTCTTGCATCTGTGTAATCGTGAAGACTGTACTGCCTTTTCCTAATTCTTTTGTCACCTCTGCCTTGTTTGGGGGATCAGTCTCTTTGAGGCAGTGGAGCTTCACCACCACAGAGACACTGATCACTTCTGCATGTATGAGGAGGAACTGCCACATTCTCTCATTTGCTCAGCTGCATTCCTGCTGGTTAGCCCACATTAGACATTTGGGTCAGATAAGCCATATCCTTCCATTTGGAAGGCAAGGCAAGTTAGAGATAGAGATAGGCACCGGTTGCTGTTACCTGTTATCTCTTACCTGCAAGCCCCACCTACCCTCCTGAAGTTAAAAGGATTGGAGCCACCAAAAGTCAATAGGGAAGTAAAAGGACACCTTGATTATGCTTTTTCTTGCCTAGTAATGTGGGGACTGGGAACCATTGGGTTTCCCCATTTCAGGCCACATTTGTGGCACCTGGGAGAGGAGTGCTGGTCAGTCAGAGGATGAGACACCTGCTGTTAAGTGAGCAGTTCCCTCCAGTGGCAGCTGATGCCTGTTGTTTTAAAAGCTTATACATTCCTGTGTTCCTTAGGATTTCAACCCCCACCCAACACATGGGGTCCCTCCCAGCTCATACTCAACAGAGTGTGAGGCTACAGTGGCGGAGATGTGCTACAGATTTATATGCAGGGAGCCATTGTTGTTAGTATAGCTTTGTTAGTAAGCCTCCAGAAGTTGCTTATTTGCATAAATTTAATACACCTTATAAGACAGGGTCTCTTGTGTGGGAAACCCAAGGGAAACTGAGAAGGCTAGAAGTACTTGCCTCCTGTATTTTCTGCTTCCCCACCATAATATTTGGCACTCTACTCTTCCCCACTTTCTTAAAGGGGTCCACATTTTTCAAGCTTCCCCCTCCCCTTAATAAATGCTGTTCCTCAGGAGTGCAAATTGAGGATTGAGTTGGCTGTAGTCACATAAAATATTTTCATTTGGTTTAAGGGATTTTGAGTTGATTATGAAATAAGTATAGCTTGAACTGACTTCAGCTATAAATGCTGGAAGTGGAGAAAGTGGCTCTACTTTGTGGTCATTATAGAAGCAAGTCAAGGTGGTAAAGTGCTCAGCTTTAGCACTTTCTGTACTGTTTTTGGAGAAAACTTTTTTTCTGCAATCAGTATGGAAGGTGATCAGGCTAACAAAGCAGAAAGCTTGCTACATACTTTGAGAGGCTGACAGTTCTGCTGGAAGGAACTTGATGCAGTGGTGCCTTGACTTACGACCATAATCTGTTCCAGAAGATGGACGTAACAAAATGGTCATAAATCGAAGCATACATTCCCATAGGAATGCATGGGAATGCAGTTAATCTGTTTCAGCAAAAAAAAAAAAAAAACCCCAACCCCCCCAAAATAAAAAAAAAAAAAAACAATGCAAGCCCCGTAGGACCGCGCTGGGGCTGCAAAAATAAAAATTAAAAATTAAAAAAAACACCAAAAACCAAAACACCAAAAATAAACAGAGCAAGTCCCATGCTAGAACTGCAAAAAACCCCACTAAAAACAACAACACAGCGCAGAAACATAACCCCCCACACCTAAGACCACCCTGCAAAACCCACCCAGAACAGTTTTTAAAAAGCAAAAAGCATCTTACCTTAGCAGGCTTCCTTTGGCAGTGCCTCCGGGAGCCTGGATCAAGGCGCCTTCTGCCCTCATGCCGAGGAGAGGCGAGGAGCACCAAGGCTCGACGCAGCCGCCCCAGCGAGCAGCTACTGGACCCGGAGCAGGAGGTAGCGTCAAGCACGCCTGGTGGGCAAACCACCTACTGCTCAGGGACTCGGCAGCGGCCCTGCGGAGGGAGGCGAGAAGTGCCAAGGGACGCCCCCTTGCCGCCTCCCCCCACCGCTGCATCCCTTTCCCTCACCGTTGGGGCAAAAGAGCTACAAAGAAGCAGCCTCTTCGCCACCAACGAATTGAATTTCCTGCCTTTTTTTTGTTTGGTACTCGAAACTCCAGCTGCAAGTCGAAGCAAAATTTTGTTGCCAGAGCTGGTTGTAAGTAGGGACGGTCGTAAGTCGAGGCACCACTGTACATACCATTTCATGAAATTCTCCTTTTCAAATGACAGATGTTTAAAGTCAGACTTAAGCAGCCAGATTTTTACTTGCTTTTTACAGATACAGCCAAGTTTGTGCTCCGTTCTCTATTCCTTCCTTCGTAAGTACCATTAGCTTGGAGAAGCCATGTCTGATGGAAGGAAGCATCTTTCTGGTGCAGCAAAGAGAAAGAGGGAAGTAAAGGTGGCATTCCCATCAAAACAGAAAGAAACTCTCCTGACTGTTCTAACAGTTGATACTCAGAATGAATCTTTCACAGAGGGTGATGAGCTTGCAAGTGTTGACTGTGAGAAGGCTATTGTTCTTCAGGATAATCAGGCTGCAGATGAATTGACAGCTGCTGCATCCACATCTGGAATGGATGTAGAGGTGCACATACTTGGAAAAGATTGCAGAACAGATCCAAGTATGGTGGACCAGCTTGTTACAGCTGCTACAGAGTTCAGTGCATCAATTTTGGATGATCCAGGACTTTGGATGGATGTGAGTAATGACATGAGAGATTTCCTTGTACTAAATGGGCCACGGCAAGTGAAAGTCTTCAGTTTCCCAAAAGATTCTGTAAAGAGGAGCTTCCATCGCATGTATTATTGGCGTGAGCTGCCAAATGGTGACAAATTGGAGAGACCATGGCTGATGTACTCAAAGACCCAGAACGCTGCATATTGTTTTTGCTGCAAACTGTTCCAGCCCAACACATTGTCTGCATTATGTTCTAATGGAACAAAAGACTGGAGAAATCTGGCGAGAAATTTGGCAAGTCATGAAAAAACATCGTATCACCAGAGAGCATTTTGTAACTGGAAGGAACTTGAGGGGAAGCTAAAGTTAAAAGTTAATTTAGATGATAAAGATCAGGAGAAGATTGCATCTGAGACCAATCACTGGCAGAATGTTATGAAAAGGCTTGTTGGTATTGTTAGAATACTTGCTACTCAGAATTTACCACTGTGTGGGAGATCAGATCAGCTCTTTGTGCCTGACAATGGTAGCTTCCTTAAAATTGTGGAGTTGATGGGAGAGTTTGATTCTGTACTTAAAGAACATCTGAGAAGAGTAACTACAAAGGAAATTCACAGTCACTATCTGGGGAAAACAACTCAAAATGAGATAATCCACTTAGTGGCAACAGAGGTAAAACAAAAGATTTTGGCACTCCTTAAGTCTGCAAAATACTATTCTATCATTCTAGACTGTACCCTTTACAACAGCCATATTGAACAAATTACTTTAATGGTTCGTTTTGTAACAGCAACAGAAGCAAGCAGTAGTGTTCCTGCAGAAGTGAATGTTCGAGAACATTTTCTAGAGTTTATTGATGTAGATGATACCAAAGGAGCTGGAATGGCAAATGTGCTACTAAGAAAGCTGGAAGAAATGGGAATTGCTATAATGGATATGAGAGGACAGAGTTATGATAATGGAGCTAATGTGAAAGGGAAGAATAGTGGGGTACAAACACTGCTGCAGGAATTAAATCCTCGAGTATTTTCTGTCCCATGCAGTTCCCATTCATTAAACTTGGTAGTCACTGATGCAGCTTCAAGTTTTACTGAAGGTGTTGAATTTTTTAATGCAATTCAAAGTATCTATATTTTTTTCTCTGCTTCACCTCATCGCTGGGAAGTATTAAAGCAATATGTGGGAATTTCCCATCTTAGTATGAAACCTCAGAGTGGCATAAGATGGGAAAGTTGCATAGAGGCAATAGAGGCTATTCGACAGCAGGTTGGGGAAGTATATGATGCCCTAAGTGCTGTTATAGAGGATGGAGCTTTGACAGGAGCTGCTCATAGCAAAACACAGATAGAGGGGGAGAGGATTGCTAGAAATATGTGCAACTTCAACTTTCTGTGTAGTTTAGTTTTGTGGCATGATATATTGTTTGAAATAAATGTTGTAAGTAAGAGACTCCAGGATGTTAATCTTGATATAACAGGGGTAGTAAAACAACTTGATAAAACAAGGTCGTATCTTCAGTGTTACTGGTCAGATGAAGGGTTTGAAAATGTTTTGAAAAGTGCTGAAAAGTTGGCAGAGGAGCTTGATATTGATGCTGATTTTCCACCTTTACAAGATACTAAATCTCGCCATGTCACAGGTTTGGGTTATGAAGCGCACATCACAGATCCCAAACAACATTTCAGAGTTAAATTTTTTAATCAAGTTTTAGCCTGTACTATCCAGTCAGTTGAAGAACGTTTCTTGCAGCTGAAAGAACACAGCACTTTGTTTGGGATGCTTTATGATATAAAAAACATCAATGAAACTAGATCTGAAGAATTACGTCAGCAGTGTGGGGCACTAGAAAAGATCTTGACTCATGGCAAAGTGCGTGATATTGATGCAAATGATCTCTACGATGAGTTGAAAGCACTCTCCAAATATGTTTCTGTGGGCTCAACACCAAAGGATGTTTTGGAATATGTTTGTTCAAGAAAGATGATAGTCCTCTTTCCAAATGCATTTATTGCTCTACGCATACTTTTAACACTTCCTGTAACTGTTACCACTGGAGAGTGTGGTTCTTCCAAGCTGCAGCTAATAAAAACACACCTGTACTCCACAGTGATGCAGGATAGAATAGATGGACTTGCAACTCTATCAGTAGAGCATGAGCTGGCTCAAACTATTGACCTTAAAGAAGCAGTTCATATCTTTGCAACCAAGAAGGCACAGACATCACCATTTTGATCAATATTTCTATGGGTAATAAAGGAGCAGTTCATATCTTTGTAATCAAGAAGGCGCAGAGCTCACTATTTTGATAATTTTCAAAATAGGCTATTTTCTATGCTGACTAGAAATGTTAAGTGCTACTTGGAAACATTCAAATTAGCTGATGTCTTGAAAGCCCATGTTCATTCCTGTCTCTTTTCACCTGGCAGTGCAGAGCATAATTGTGATACAGATGATCACTCTGGGAAGCTTGCATTAAACATAGCCCCACTTCTTTCTCATGCGTGCATACTCATCCTTTTAAAGAGTTTCCAGCTCATTCTGTTCTTGAGAACCAGCCCTGGCCATATCTCTTCACTGAAACCCAGTGTAGTGCCATCATTTAGTTCCTGGTGAGTATGAACATCTTCATCAGATTGCTTTAGAGTGTTTTTATAAGTAAGACTGTGTCTTGATCTTTGTAGCAAGCCTTTTTTAATATTTGGAGGAGAGTGATATTTAATACTTCTGGTAGCAAAGAATTTTGAGCTGACCATCAGGAGTTGGACATTTTATTTTGAATCTATTGCTGCTGGACAGAACCTCTAGTGGACTTTTTCTGCATCTCAAGATGCAAAGTTTGGTGTTTTGATTAGCCAGATGCATTGATGACTTATTGGTTCTTTTGCATAGCAGCTGTTTCTGTATGTGTATAGTAATGAAAGCTGCTGCTGCAGTAACTAGAACTGTGCCCCGAAGAGTACATAGGTCTCTTTTTTTAAAATTTGGCCTGTTTCATATGTTAGACACTCCAGATAGCAGCTTGATGAGAAAGCATAACTAATTAAAGCTTCTTGTCTAAGATGTGCAAGTTGGTCTTAGTTGCATGTTAAATTGCATAATACAGTATACACTAGCTGACGTAAGTGTTTATCTATGAAGTTTGAGACATTTCTGCTTGTGTGTGGTGGATGTCCTTGTTTTCCATCAACTTCTTTTGATTTCCATCAGCCTATCTTCTGATACAGTCTCTGATGGTCTTTTGACCTCAAGAATGGCTTTCAGACAGGCATAGTGTAAGGCGGGAGAGAGAGACATGGCTTTCAGACAGGCATAGTGTAAGGCAGGAGAGAGAGACACCCCTCCCTCGGGAGTGCCGTCCCTCCCGCCAACTGCTGAGAAAGAGAGCCAGACTCCACCAGTTCCCTCACCCCGGAAGACAAGACCTCCTGGACATGACCTGGGGAATTTGGAGGGAAATTTGAAAGGACTAACGATTACAGAACCCGCAAATACCTTGGCGGGCACGGGAGAAAAAAGGCGGGAAGTAGTGGAGGTGGGGTTGAGGGATATAAGGGGAATTTGAAAGGACTAATGATTACAGAACCCGCAAATACCTTGGGGTGGGAAGTAGTGGAGGTGGGGTTGGGGGATATAAGAAAGGGGAAAGGAGAGATGCCAGTAGGCTGGGAGTGGATCTGGGTAGAAGATCCATACACGGGAAAGACAGAGAAACTCTGTGTCCCTAAGGAAGAAGCAGATGCCCGGAGGAGGCATAAATTAAGCCCTAAACCATCTTACTGGAGTGAGCGAGAGACTAAGGAGTGGAGGAGGAAGTTGAGAGAGGAAAGAGAGAAAGTGGAAAGAGAACGAAGGGAGAGGTTAGAATGGAGAATTTGAGAGAATCAGCAGAGAGAATTCCTGGAGTCCCGTGGGAGAGGGGGGAAACCCCCCCCAGGGAGTGTGACTGGGTGGACGTTCAAGAGGAAGACACTATCCCCCTACTGGAAGGAGAGGAGGATTACTCCTGAACCCTGGTACCCCACCGGAGTGGCCTGGACCCTAGAATAGCCAGGGTAAGAACCCTTTCAATGTGGAGGACTGGAATCCCCCTTCAAACCTGTTGTCTAAAGGGGAGAACATTTGGAATGCTTTTGTTGACACTGGACTGTTGTTAAATACCCCAATAAATGTTATCCCCATTTCTAAACCAAGGAGAGTGGGTGCATTCTTTGAAAAAGAGTTGGAGCAAACTACTGAACCCTCACACATAGGTAACTGCCCCCTATTTTACAATTAGAATACAGTGGTACCTTTCAAGACAGTTACTCCTCAAAACGACGAATCCGCATGATAACAATGTTTTGCGGCAGCCATTTTGCCTTGCAAAACACTGATTCCTATGGGGGAATTTTGCTGGATGCCGATTTGGTCTGTGCTTCGCGGACCATTTTTGCACAACACGATGATTTAGAACAGCTGATTGGCGGTTCGCAAAATGGCTTCCCTAGGGGTGATCCTCGCAAAACGGATGTTTTCAGGCCCGTTTTTCGCAAGACGACAATTAAAAACAGTTGATCGGCAGTTCGCAAAGCAGCTTTCCTATGGCCGATCTTCGCTAGATGACAATTCTTCCCCATTGGAACGCATTAAACAGGTTTCAATGCATTCCAATGGGGAAATGCTTTTCGCTAGACAATGATTTCGCTAAACAGCGGTTTCAGTGGAACGGATTATCATCGTCTAGCGAAGCACCACTGGACTAATAATCCTTGAGATCCAAGTTAAAATGTAAGAAGAATTCTCAAAATCAGGTACAAGCAAATGTTAGGTTTGTAGAATCTATGTCATTTGAAACCGTAAGATTCACGAGCAGGAAATACTTCTCTTTTACCCCAAACCATTCTGACTTTTGGAACCAAATTTAAAGGGCAGGATTTTTTTCTGTAACCATTGCACATTGGAAACTCTTCCCATTCTGCTGCAACTCATGTAGAAAACAGTAGACCCATCTACCTCTGCCTGCCCACCTAGGGTATAGGCCTAACTAGCCAAGAAGCCTGAGTACCTGCAGAACTGACAGGGTAGCTCAGACTATGTTGAATCCGGACTCTTTCCAGGCTAGGAATGTTGACAGTTATTTAGGAATACAGTGGTTCCTCGCTGTAAAGCGAGGCACCACTGTACCCTGATCTTGGTCTAAGCTTGTGCTGGGATAATGGCTCTTTGTTTAAAAGGAGTTGGATCTGGTCTGAACGTTTCCCCTTCTCAGCCCCCATTTTGACTCTTCTGCTGGCTGTTCTTATTACAGCAGTTGTGTTGTCAGATTTGAGATTGGCCAGTAGAAAATGGTGCCAGCATAAGGGCATTTATGCCAGCACAATACACTTCTGCCCTTTCGAAATCATTATAGCTGGTATATGGAGTTTGATTTACAGTCGTGCCTCGCACAACGGTCGCTCCGTAGAGCGATGAATCCGCGCAACGATGCCGTTTTTGCAATCACAAACGCGATCGCAAAACGGCACCTAGATAGGGGGAAAATCACAGAGTGAAGGTCGGTAAGCGGTTTGCCTACCGACCTTTGCTTTGCGACTCGCCCATCAGCTGTTGGGTGGGTCCAAAATGGCCGCCGCGCGCCCCGAAATGGCCGCACGCAGCGTTTTCACGCCCTCGTTCAGCGAGGGGAGGGCGCGAAAATGGCTGCCGGCCATCCAGGAACATCGCACAACGGTGAGTATTCGGCCGAATTGGAACGCATTAAACGCTGTTTAATGCGTTCCAATGGCTTTTTACTTTCCGTTGAGCGATGTTTCACACAGCGAGGGTTAATCCGGAACGGATTAACCTCGCTGTGTGAGGCACCACTGTACACTATTATGTATCTTCATATATTATTAAGAATTGAAGCAATTTGATTCTGGATAAAGTATGCTTCCAGTAGTCTTTTCCAAATATAAACATCTACACTCAAAATAGTAGATTGTCTTATTCTAAAATATGAGTTTATGATGTGTTCAAAACAACTTATTTATATATTGGCTGAAATCCTGTTCTGCAGCTATATCTGCATAGCTCTTTTGAGTTTCACAAGTGCAGGAGAAAATCATGCCAAGGCCAAAGTGATATTCAGTGTCGACTTCTGCAGGTGTCTTGTGCAACAGTCACGCTGTGACTCATATGATCAACTGCACAGTCAAGTTGCACCGTGCAGACTACCCAGGCATGGTTCCAGGCACATAATTTAATGTTATTCCAGTTTAATCAGACAATGTAGTTTCAGTTTGGTAGGATCAGCTTTTGTTTAAAACAGTTAAAGTATAACAGTACCAGCTTGACATCTGTAAATCTGAAAAGTTGAAGATTAGTAAAATTAAATTTAATTTTTAACATGCACTGTACTGTTAGTACCTCTCACCTCCATATATGTCTCTCATATCTACAGTATATTTATTGTAAAAACAGTTGTACATTGACACTGGGCTGTTAATACTGCTTCTTTTTAAAAAGTGAGTATGTAATGTTACGAAGCAATATTTCTTTTAACTGAAAGTGAAATTGCTGGTTCTCCTTTTCCTTTTTAGATGTTTTGTAAAATTTACCAAGGTTTTAATTAGGCAATCTAGTGAAGGAGAAGGGGGGGAATTTCCCAGTATTGATTATTTTGAGTTATTTGAAGTCCTTCTAGTTATCAGAATGATGATGAATTAAGACAGCTAAAGATCATTACAGTAGGTGACATCTTCATAAATCAGAAGCACCAGCTGGGTGTCTCCTTCTAATGATAAATTGCTTCTTTTTCAGTGGAGAGGAAGGTTAGAGGGTCATCTTACAGCCCTGGCCCCTGCCCTTTTCACTGTGGAGCCATGTATTTAAGTCTAAGGATTCCATTTTATTGAAGCTTTTGGTTTGATGGGGCTGGGACGTACCATGTATTTAGTTCTCAGTTTGAACTGAGCCTGGAAGGAATATGTTCTGCTTATTCAGATAGCTGAGTTCTCAAAATAATGGAAGCTGTAATCTTTAACCTTAGTTCATCTTTCATACTTTTCAAAAAGGATTGATTTAAAAAAACCCAGTGATTATTCTTTGGAAACAGTGCCTTGGTAAAATCTGTTCACTTTGTGTAGAGGCCCTCTTTGGTGTGCTTTTTTAAATGGATTAATCTTTTTAATGATTAGAATATAGATGCTCACATGTTGAGAAAGGCAAGACAACAAATTACTGTAATAATTTCAGCCAGTGAGAGCATTTGCTTTTGATTGAACAATAGTAGCATTTGGCAAAACTAAAAAATGATTTTTGTGTTGATGTTTGTGTGTGTGTGTGTGTGAGCAAAATTTCTCAATGTGTTTGTATACTTTTCATCAGATGCTTTCATTAGAGCTAATATGCGTCTATACCCTTGGTTTCGAATCATTTGTCTGTGCCTGACTTTCTTGTTCAATTTGTGAGAGTTCTGAATATATTAATTTTCTTGATAGTTTCAGCTAAAACACTGAAATATCTTGTCAATATGCTAATTCTGCAAACTAAGATCTAGCTGCAGCTGCTAGGAATAGCCAATAACAGCCTTAGGAAGTAGTTTTCAGAAGGCCCAGTCAACCAAGAGTGAAATACTAATATGTTTCTATTTTGCAATTATATCTGCTTTTTAATTGTATGGAAGAAATTGGGAGGGGTATCTTGTAGTTCCTGCATGTTTCTGGAATAGGATCGGTGTCATTGCGTACATCCTAGCCAGTAGTATGTTTCAACGGGTAAGTCACATTGAAGAATGCATTTTGGCTGTGAATGGAAAGCAGTGATCTGTTTATTTCAAAGGTAAAATCAGTTGAGAGACACACACAATTTGTGTCTGGGGTGTAAATAAGAGCATTTTTAATGACATAAAATTGTTATAAGTATAGCCACAATTTGTGTCTGGGGTGTAAATAAGAGACATAAAACTGTTATAAGTATAGCATTATCCTGTGCTTCCTGCTTCACATGTTCATGTTACATGCAGCTTTCACCAGTTGTAGTGCAAAATATTATTTGAGGGTTCAAATAAGACATTATGTGCTGGAGAACATCTTGTGCTGGAAGTATCCTCATGTGCTGGAGGTATCCTCAGGTATATCCACAGAAAATCATTGATTAAAGGTAGACCTGAGCAAGCTGCCCTGAGCTGTTAAAGCACTTTGATTTTTCAGGAAATTAAACAGTAGTGCAGTTCTAAAAAACAGACATGATAAAATGTCTTGGGACATCAAGAGCAAGGCAGTGGTGATGATAGTTGCTAACTTCTTTATATGCATATGTACAGCTATTGAAGTTTTGTGTAACAGTAACAGCAAGATCAGAGTTTTGGGCTGTTTCCGGTTTGTACTCCTGACCGTGACCTGAAACACAAAACAAAAATGTATTCATGTGTATCCATTCTGTGTGCAAGAAAACAGAAGGATGGAAATACTGAGTATTTCCTTGTTCTTAAATTTGTGTAAAATTCTGTCATGAAGGACAATACTATGTATAGTAAATCTTATCAGGTTGTTTTTATCTCTAAGTGTTTTATTTTTTGTTTCTTTAGAGCAATCAAGATGCCATGTTGACTCTACAATAGAGGTAAGGGTGAGTGTTGCTCTTTTATCCTAACCCACAGCAAGGGGGTTTACTAAAATCATATCTCAATAGATGAAGGCTTACTAATTTTTTTAAATAATATACTTTCATTGTCATTTTTGTTGAACCCTGCTAAGAGGATGATGATGCTTCATGCAGCCTTACTTTGTTACAAAAATACTTTTGCTTTCTTTTCTGTCTACAGAAATAATAGTGTTTTCAAGCCTTTGTGAACAAAATATTTTAATGTAAAAATATGACTTTTTTAATGGTTTGGATTTTATAGAACAGTATTGCTGGCACAGTGATGATTTTTTTTGCCGTTTACCCATCTGAATGAATATTGATGTGGTTATTTCCTAATTCTGAGATGCCAGTAAAGCTTTAAATAAACTCGATAACCAAATTTATTAGAACAGTAAGATTTTATTAAATATAGTTGTTTCAGCAGTGAATATTTCATTTATGTGTCTTCCTGAATTTACACACATTCAGAAATGTGACCTTGTCATATTTTTTGTTTGCAGCCATGGAAGTGCTGCTTGAAGTCTGAGGTAGTCCTTAATTAAAATTATGAGATGTCAGACTGGAATGTTTGAAGATGTCTTGAAACATCAAGTGTGTATGAAGAAACTAAACTTGACTTTTTTGTGAAAGATTAAGGTTTTTAAAGATAAACAGAATAAGGTGCTTAAATTATGAAAGTGAAGTGAGCGAATCAGTTTGAATGTTGACGAGAGAAGGCAAAAATACTTAAAAATTATGTATTTTAGAATGATTTGAAATGCCATTTATTGTGGAAATCCAGCAAACTTGTCTTATGTAAAACTTTGTTTATTTTGTTTATATTTGTGCCAAGCTAATGCAACAAGATAACTGGGAACTATTTCATTTGACATACTACTTTATTTTTTTCTTTCCAGGGAGACAAGATGCTACAGTTTCCTGTGTAGAATAATTTTATACTTTTGAAAGAAGCTATGTATTGTGGCTTGATATTGTTTCTGAAACAAGACTTATACAGGATATTTAAGGCCATTCAGCTTTTCTTAGGATAGTATTTTTCAACTTTTTTTCCAAAGACCATCCTGCAAAATTGATCTGCTTTGCATCCTGTCTCTTTTAAGATATCACGGTCCTTGCATAAAAGTTAGGAGGATAGAAGGAAATTTGCCACCAAACTAGACATGATGATACACGTATGCCCTATCCTATAAAAATAAGGTCTTGTTTTGTATGTCTCCTTTATTACACTCAAGTCAGTACTTGTATGCCTTATTTTTTTTTTAAATCATTCCAAATATAAAAATGTTTATCAGCATTTTAGTCTCCCTTTCCTTAGTGAAAAATTGTGGGACTTTTTGTAGTACAAAAAGCAAAATTTAGATGAAATGAAGTGACTTACAGGAGCTGCATCCTTACATACTTGGATGTACTTGTTTCACCATGTTTTCCTATTCTGTCATTTCATTTTCTCTTTAGTGTTAGTTAATTTATGTGTGAAGGAATTTGTATGAAGTTTTAGTAATAGAAAAAGGGTGTGAGGTTTACCTTTTCACATCATCTGTTGAATGACATTTCTGGAACAAAATAAATATATGATTTTTGAATGCTCCTTTTGTAATGTCCTGAACAACAGAAAAATAAAAGAGTCACATTGTGTTTAAGACAAGTATTATTACTATCACTGTTCTTGAATGCCATCAAGTGACATCTGACTTATGATGACCCTAACAGGATTTTCAGTATATATATTTAAGGAATGGTTTTGCTATTGCCACCTCCCCAGTAAGTTTTTGTGGCCAAGCAGAGATTTAAAATTGGGTTTTCTTAGTCTTAGTCTGTCATTTTAGCCACTACAACAAACTGGCTCTCCTCCCATTCTTCCTTCTATTGCTGTTACTAGTATGATTACTGTTAAAATAAGTGTTTTATTGAAATAATAAATTGTTAAATTTATAATTCAATAATTGAATTCATATTTCACCATTATTGAGACATACAAGGAAAACATCATCTGTAGCATAGCAAATTATATATTTCCATTTCTTCCTTGATATGTACAGTGGCATAATGTGACGTGAGATGAATTATAAAGTGCTGACAACTGCATTCAGTAACTGGATATGTGTAACAAGTCCACTGTTTTAAATAACTATAGAAGTTGATCTTATTTACACAATTATATTTTATTTTTTAAAAAACTGACAAGAATAGAGCTAACTTTAAAAACAAGAATTAATCTTCATTACTGAGAATATGTGCTGCAGGCCCATAGGTAGCAATGAATTGTATAAGCTGTTGATGGCACTGCTTCAAGTAAACATCCCTTTGATTCAAGGAGTTCTCATCATTTAGGTCAAATGGAAAAACAGCAGCTGGGGCAACACAAAATACAGAAGCACCTGCAAAAATAGACGCAAAACATTACATTTATTTAAAATGCCTCTGCGGTACAATAAGTAATGAATGGTTCATTACACAAAGTAAAATCTCACCCATTGGAAATAACACCTTAGAATAAACATTTTGTCCATGGAAAACGAGATATTTGGTAGCTTTGAGGCTCTGCTTTTCAGCTGAACATAAAAGAACCCAATAGTTGATTATTGCAGATTTTTGGAAATACTGAAATAAATTTAGCCTATGAAAAGTTTTTTAGCAAAGAAAGAAGTTTTTACCATGTTTTAAAGTAAGAGATGATTCAAATAACAACACAGCAATCAAAACATCTTCTTTAAGTACTTTTGTCCTTAAGCTCAATTTAGCATGGGCTTCGGCCAGGGAAATCCTAAAATACAAACAGGTATTTTTGGTATTCAGTTTTGGCCTTTGGTTAAAGGTTAAAAGTTAAAATAACAATTTAATGTGTTTAAAACCCATACAGTTTATCCACTGTATTTGCAAATATACTGCCTATTTGCATTTGGATAGGAGGGAGAGGACACTGCTGGTCTCTGCAATCTCACACATTGGCCCAGCACAAAAGGGAAGTGTCTAAACATAACAGTATTTAATATGTGTAATGAAAACGTACAAGGTCTTCAGTGAGGTTGCTGAGAGATGTGATCCATTGATAGGATGTGTTCTAACTCTTCGACTGGCTAGATAGTAGCCATGAATTAGTTTTTCTGCTTCTGAACCAAGTTCCACTTGCAAATGACTGGCGAAAGCAAGAAACTAAAATGACAATACAGTAATTAGTTAGTTATTTAGGATTTGTATAGAGAATAAAGTTCACCAAATCTCAATTGTAGAGCATTGTTTAGAGTAAATCTGTACTTGTTTATTTATTTATTTGATTGATTTATATCCCACCCATCTGGTCTGTTCGACTTGGAATGCCTGTTTTGGAAAAACACCAACAATCTTGTCAGTTCATGATGTCTGACTCATTTTTCACATTGCAAAGGATATTTAAAAATCCAAACAAGTGCTGCTTAATCTATATAAATATGTATGGGGAAATGTATCTCCCTTTTTAATCAAATTGTCTTCAAGATGGCTTGCACTTGGTTGCACTAATACGTAGGCTAGTCTGCTACAGTATTTTTTTTTCTGGGAAGCAGGATGCCTTTGAGTTATTCTGACAGTGTGAACTCAGATTATCTAGGTCAATTTCAATCTGGTTTCAGGCCTGGTTAATGAAGAGTTTGGTCACCTTGGTTGCTGACCTACACTGGGAGCTGAATAGGGGATCTGTGTCCCTGTTGGTTTTGCTGGACTTCTCAGCAGCCTTTGATAATTTCAACCATAGTATCATCCTGATGTGTGTCTATGGGATGGGACATGGGATCACTGATTTACAGTGGCTCCAGTCGTTCTTGTATGAAAGAACTCAAAAGGTGGTGCTGGAGGATTCTTATTTGACACACTGGCCATTGGGTTTCCTCAAAGTTCTGTTTTGTCTCCAATGTTATTTAACATCTACATGAAACCACCGGGAGAGATTATCTGGAGTTTTGGGGTTTGGGATCACCAGTATGCTGATGACACCCAAATCTACCTCTCCTTACCACCTAAACCTGAGGAAGCTGTTTTGGCTTTAGATCAGTGTTTGGTATCAGTAATGGACTGGGTGAGGTTAATAAATTGAAACTTAATCCAGACAGGATAGAGATGCTTCTGGTCAGTTGAAAGATAGATCAAGAAATAGGGATGCAGCCTGTACTGGATGGGGTTTCACTCCCCCTGGAAAAACAGATGTGCAGCTTGGGGATGCTCCTGGATTTATTCCGAACTGGCATGCCCAGGTCTTAGCGGTGGCCAGGAGTGCATTTGCACAATTAAAACTAGTGCACCAGCAACGTCCATTTTTGCAGAAATCTGAGATCTGGCTGCTGTGACACCCTAGTTACTTCCTGGCTGGATTACTATACAGTAACACACTCTATTTGAGGCTGGTGATAGAAAAGTATCAGGAAACTAGTGGGTCCAAAACGCAGCAGCCAGATTGCTGACTGGGGCTGGTTACAGGGATCACATAGCAGCTCCTGTTACTGCACCTCCACTGGCTGCCAGTCAGTTTCTGAGAACAATTCAAAGAGCTGATTTTAATCTATAAAGCCCTAAATGGTCTGGGTCCAAATTGTTGCAAAGACCATAGCTAGAGCAGTTTTTTTCTTGCAGAAAGAAAAGTAAACTCCCTGCAGTTCAGTTGCAAACCGCAGCATAAATACAAATCAATAACATATTTCAGGAGTGTTTAATAGAAAAGGTTTAATGTTAATGCTATGAACTACTGATTAAGAAATATTAACTTCTAAACTGCTGACCATTTGGTACTGTTTTGCAGTTTAAGCCATGGATAAGTATAGTGACTTTGAAATGGGTCAGTTAACTAAAACTAGGGGTTTTGTTTTTTTAAGTCTCCTGAATATATTCCTGTGTAGGGATTGGACTTTTGTGTTAATGTGACTGAATGAATACACACATCAAAAAGCTGTTTATTTTCTTTGCCATATTCTTTAATTACAATAATTGTTTAAAAAGAACCTCTTAAACACAAAAGAAGAGTAAAATAATGTTTTCATGTTTCACTTTCGCATTTAATCTTTCTTTGTCCCTTCTCTGTCAAATGATAATTATCACTGATGAACTCAAGAAAACCATATCTGAGATACAGTTGCTGAAGGTGTTAAAAAATACAACTTCATTTTGGTATAATCCCAATGTTTCTTACCTCCTCATAATCTTGTGTTGTAAACTGTTGGGACACAGTATAATCTGCCTCTTCTGGACTGATAGCCTTTTTTAAAAGGAAATTTACAGTAGAAAGAATTGAATTGCAAAATGTTGATTCATTGCAGTGTATCACAAGCCCAAAAGCCTCTATAAGGTTAGCTGAAATCAAGTTTAAGTCCTGTTAAAAATAAAGGCAAAATAATATTTTGTAAGAGAAATTTAGCATATCCTTCCAATACTAGTTTGCAGTATGAGTGTCTGAAAAATGTAAACTTTCCTTAAACATCTTTTGAAAATTTCATTTAGGCCACTATTTGATCTGTTCAACACACGTATTTTTTCATTGTAGTGAAAATTACCATTGGCTAGAGGCCACCACATCTCGCTTATAAAAACAAATAGCTTCATAGGGAAATCAGCATATTTATAGAAAAAATGGCTGCCAAGTAAGCTGATCGCTGTTTTATTTCTAAACAGACATTATTCTTAATTAACATTATTCTCCAATTCATGTTAAAACAAAGAACATGACTTACCATCTGGCCAATTAGAGTGTTTTCTTTCTGAACATTCCTTTTGGAAGGAGAAGAATCCATGTCAACAAATGACCAAAAACTAGTTTGAACTGGAAGAATAACTTGTTGATCCGTATCTTGTCCATATTTCTTTCCAGGAATGAATATAGTAGCTGCCCTGTTCTCTAGCACTTGCAAATCAATCAGTAAAAATTATGTTAGATGTAATGGTTCGTGAATCTCACTATATGAAAAATTAAAGATTCATAACATTCTTGTTCTCAGAGAGCACTTGCCTCTTAAATTATAGGGCTCCCTTTGCAAATTAGTGCTGTATACCTTTAAAGACATCAAAAGAGTTTTTGAGTTATAGGTTGGATCCAGATTGACTCTTAGTGATTGTAGACTTCATGAGGGAGGAAAGTGCCACAGCAGTTATTTTTATTGATTCCTCTCTACAACTGTACCTCCCATGCTGTTCTTGAGGGTCCTCCAGTTTCCAGAACAGCTTGTCAGAGGGACAGCATTGAAAGGGCAGAATAAGGGGAAATAATTATTTGCCTCTTTCTTTCACTTGAAGTCAGAACTATGCTGAGCATAGGCCTGGGTTTGTTGCAGAGATAGACATGAAAACTAGGACATCAACATATGCAAAGTGTTAGCTGCTCTTCTAGGTCTTACTAAGGACATTCCTTCTGTACCATCTACATACTTTAAAATGTGTATGTTATTTTTCCCCCTAGCATAATGTTATTGTTATATCATGTGGTGGTATGCTGTACTTTGTATTGGCCCTGTATAGAAGCAGCCTTGCTGTTTGTAATGCTTTAAAATGCTTCAGAACTGGGCAAACCATGTGGAAATACAGCTTCTTTGTTAATTTAGTTTGGTCTATTTACATTATGTCATCAGATTTTTCGTTTCCCCAGGGTTTCCACATGTGTCTTTAGAGCTCATAGGATTCAACATTGGGGATGAGATTTGCAATAGCTCAGTCTCTGGAAGTGTGGGTCACCTTATCATTATTTCATTGTTTTGATTGGATGTGGTTTTAACTGGTTTGGTCATGTTATCAGCTCAGTCCCCTTCCTTTATATATAGTCATGCTTTCACTGTTACCTTTCCAGTCAGTATCATTTTCATGGCCTCTCTATTTTAAACAATATTAAAATGTGCTAAAATTTTGTTAATAAAAAGTTAAGAAAACAGAATTAAGTCTTTTGAGAGGGACCATGGTTGCATAGTCAGAATATAATGCTAGGCATGCAGAAGGTCACACATTTAATAGCTATCATAAATTAGCAACTGATGTGGACAACCCTTTCCAGAGTTCTTGATGCTGGTAAACTATTTGGGCTGGGCTGAAAGATAGCATGATCTAGTAGAAAGCAATTGGTTAAAATATAAACACACTGCTAAAGTAATGTATGTAGATACACCATTTTTCCACTCTTGCATACACGAGTATATGTCCTATACACAACAGTGAGATGAACCCAACTGACAAAAAATGGAAATTGTGTATGTGAAATGCCTTTTGTAATAGACTGAGTTGGACCTTTCACCGACTTGTTTTCACTCAAAAGTGAATCTCGTGAATCTCTCTCTCTCCTCTCTCTCTCTCTCTCTCTCTCTCTAATATGAAATATGCTATATAAAGGCAGACTTCTCTTTCATGACGTTACTTGGTGGAAACTGGTTGCTGTCATTTTCCAGCTCCTTTAATATTTAATTTAAAATGTGTCCCTCCCCTCAGGTTCCAAGATTCCCTGGGGGCTTTTTACCTTGGTGAAGCCCTTGGGAGCCTTGAGACAGAAAAGGTAACCTTTAATAATCAAAAATTGCTGCCCAGTTGTGGCTGAAAGCCCAGATCCTACCTCCAGCAATCCAGCAATGATTTTTGACAATTAAGTTTCTTATGACATCCATACTAAAGTATTCCCAGTCAATGGAAATTGTGTATGTGAAATGCCTTTTGTAATAGACTGAGTTGGACCTTTCACCGACTTGTTTTCACTCAAAAGTGAATCTCGTGAATCTCTCTCTCTCCTCTCTCTCTCTCTCTCTCTCTCTCTAATATGAAATATGCTATATAAAGGCAGACTTCTCTTTCATGACGTTACTTGGTGGAAACTGGTTGCTGTCATTTTCCAGCTCCTTTAATATTTAATTTAAAATGTGTCCCTCCCCTCAGGTTCCAAGATTCCCTGGGGGCTTTTTACCTTGGTGAAGCCCTTGGGAGCCTTGAGACAGAAAAGGTAACCTTTAATAATCAAAAATTGCTGCCCAGTTGTGGCTGAAAGCCCAGATCCCACCTCCAGCAATCCAGCAGTGATTTTTGACAATTACGTTTCTTACGACATCCATATTAAAGTATTCCCAGTTACTATGTATGGATATGAATGCTGGGCAGTGAGGAAAACAGGAAAAAATAACTTGTTCAAAATGAAGTATTATTGGAAGGCTTTACAGATACCATAGATTACCAGAGAGAAAAAAGTAGGTTCTAGATCAAACAAAGCTGGACTCGGTAGTAGCAAAAAATGACTAAACTGAGTCTTTCATGCTTTGCCCACATTGTGAGAAGACTGGAAAGGACAATAATGCAAGGAAAACATGGAAGGCAATGGAAAAAGCGGGAGAGATCGCAATCTGGCAGCGTCTTTTGACTGATCTCATGGTTCCCAAAGGTATCCCCATGGCAGAAAGAAGTGCAAGGAAGCCTCAGGATGTCAAAGGGGGATAGGAAGCCTTTAATTAGTTTCAAATAAATATTACTGTTGCCAGGTGATGGCATCATACAATTTGTACTGTGTAAGTGTACACAAACAGGATTTTAAATACCAGGTTGAGGAAGGTTGCTTTGAGTATATGGGAAACTTCAAGTTGGCCTACCTGTCTGGAACTGTTCAAGTTTATCCTTTTTATGAGATGATAGTTCTCCAATGAAGCATATTCCACCTTTAGCCAGTATAGCACTACCAGCTTGAATGCTAGCAGTTCCAGTTCCATGTTTATCTTTGGACACAGTAGGAAAAATGTCACTAGACAAAATGTGCCTTATTCCACGGGGCACAAGACAAACACTGTAATTCATAAGCCTGGTTGATAGGGAAAGGTATCTTAGTAATTATTTTGCAGCAAAATGAAATGAGAAATCATAGTTTTAAATAATTGTATGTCAAACATTTCCACTGAATAGCAACAATTATGTCCATGGAATAAAGAAACACAGTTTTACCACATTCAAATCAAAGTCCAATAATGAATGGAACTAATGCAATAGAAAGTTCATTTTATAGTAACAAAATAGTTTGAGTAAGTTTTTTTTTAAAAAAAATACAGTCATCTTCCCCAAGGGGAAACTATCCAACTGTAAAAGAAAAGGGGACTTAATTACCTCTCTAATATTAAGGAATCACTTGTCATTGCCAAAAGATCCAGGTAAACTGCTGTTGAGTTGTCTCTATCATTTGAGTGTACTAGACTCAACAATATGGCCAGTTTGAGAGTATTGTAAATGCCTGGTGGAAGAACTTGTGAAGCAAAATTATAGGCCAGAACAGCTGTAAATCTCCAACATGAGCTTGAAGTTAAGAAAAGCAGATACTTAAATTTTTCACTGATACAGGAAGGTCCTAATAAGAAAAGAAAAAAACAGGGTTTACAAATTAAAGTTAAACTTGAGGATGTAAATCTTAAGCCTGTTCTCACAGACTAAAAAAGAACTTGTTAAAAAATGATCTTGATGTGAGATTTGAGTGAGGTCCTCTGGGAGAATCTTCATTTTGGAGATCATTTTTGGTATGTTGTGATAAATATGCAGAATTTAAAAAGATATGTTATTTACCTGTAATCTTGGTTATTCTAGTGGTCCTCTGTGAATCCACACAATTGGGTTGTTCTGCGCTTGTGCAGGACATCTCGGAACTTTCTAGAGCTTAAAGACATGTCATTAGTAGGACATTCCCCCTTGGAGCGCATGCTCTGCCCTCCAAAGGTCCCCTCAGTTCCTGTAAGAGTCTGACACTGTCAAAGGCCTATATAAAAAGACACCATGACAGACAGAGGGGAGGATGGGCGGGATGTGTGGATTCACAGAGGACCACTAGAAGAACTATGGTTACAGGTAGGTAACCTCGCTTTCTTCTTCATGGCCTCTGTGAATGCACACAATTGGGTGACTGACAAGCTCATTTACCAAGTGGTGGGACGTCACGGTAGAAAGGATGTCAAGATTGTTCTGATGTTACTGTGAGATGTTTGTATGGGTGGTCTATAATGGGATTGAATAGTGATAGGTACCATGCTTGTAGGGATCTCATTTTGAGCCTTGCATGCTGGATAACGGCCATCATAGAAGCCATAAGCCCGAGAAGGTGCTGGGCTTGATGTGCTGATATCAAAGCTAGGGGTTGGAATAGTTGAATGGCTCATTTTAATTTGGTGATTCTCTCTTGAGGGAGAAAGGCTCTGACTTGTAGGGAGTCGAAAAATGGCCCTATATAGATGGTAGTCTGAGAGGATTCGAGATGAGACTTAGCAGAATTTACCTTGACTCTGAGATCTTGGAGAGTATCGAGAGGGGCAACTATTAACCAGTCATCTATGTATGGGAATATGGTAATACCTTGAAGTTGGAGGTATGCAGCGAGTAGTGCCATACATTTGGTAAAGGTCCTCTGTGCCGTGGAAAGTCCAAACGGGAGAGAGCAGAATTGTTATGAGACGTCGAATCGGAATCGTAGGAATTTGTGATATTGTGAATGGATAGAAATGTGAAAGTACACATTCTGGAGGTCAATGACAACAAACCAGTCTCCCTGTGAAAGGAGAAGGCTGATAGTGTCGAGGTTCAACATTCTGAAGTGTCTAGGCTGAATGAATTTATTAAGATTTCTAAGATCGAGAATAGGACAGAGTCCTCCGTCCTTTTTAGGGGCTGTAAAATACCTGGAGTAAAATCCATCATGCAAGGTAGAGGAAGGGACTATAAGTATGGCTTGTTTTCATAGAAGAAAGGAAACGTCTTCACAGAGAGTGAGTGTGGAGTAGTCTTAATGGTGCCTGAGGGTGGGGTACATTGGAATTCAGTGAAATAACCACTGTGGATAATAGAAAGAACCCATTGATCATTAGTGATTCCTCACCAAGCACTGATGAATGGTTGGAGTCGAGTTTGAAATGTAGATAGAAGGGGCCTATGGATACTGCTTACCCTTCTTTTGAGGGCGTCAAAAGGGCTGTTAGCATGGTTGTTATTGAGGCTGAAGGATGCCTAACTAACTAACTCTTTTGAGGGCATCAAAAGGGCTGTCAGCATGGTTGTTGTTGAGATCAAAAAGCAGGTGTTGTAAATGCAGATGGACCTGGATAGGATCCAGCAGAAGCTTGTGGTTTGTATGGTCGATATGGTTGTTGGTAAAGTTGCTGGTGAAAGAAAGGCTGTCTTGGAAATTGAGGGCACTCGTAAGGTTGTTGGTAAGGTTGTTGGGTGGAATATGACCATGCTGTCTTATGGTAGTAGTTTATGAAGATTATTCATTACTTCATCTCTTTTAGTATTGAAAAGGCCAGCAACATCAAATGGAAGGTCTTCTATCCTTGACCTTGTATCATCTGAGATACCAGCCAACCTCAGCCATGCATGGTGCCTCAAGGCAATAAAGGTGGACATAGCTTTAGAGGCCGCGTCTGTGGTATGGCGGGAAGAAATTCTCTGCTGCTTAGCCAAGGTTGAAGCCTCGGTGTGGATATTTAAGACAAATGTCTTGGTGAGTTCTGGTCTCTGCTGCTTAGCCAAGGTTGAAGCCTCAGTGTGGATATTTAAGACCGATGTCTTGTTGAGTTCCTTGACTGCTTGAATGATAGGTAAAATTTTATCCCATAGCTGGCAGTGGCACGGGCCCATAGCAGCTTGATAATTAGCAACCCTCATGATAAATGACATGAGAGAATAGAGTCGTCTCCCGAAAATGTCAAGCTTTCTTCCTTCTCAGTTGGTGGGAGCTACAGATTATTTATTGCGTGCTCTCAATTGATTAGATGCTATGATAATTGAATTTGGTGTTGGATGTTTACAGAGAAAAGCTGTGTCTGGACCATGAGTTTTGTAATGATTTTCAATGCGTCTTGAAATTTGAAGTGAGGAGGGCGGTTTGTCCCATGATTCTTTTACTAAATCGAGCATAGCGGGGATAAAACTCAGGCTAAGGGGTGGTGTTTTATCCTGATTGAGATAATCAAAGACCAGATCTTTCTTTTGAGGTGGTGGTTTTTCAATATCGAGTTGTAAAGACTTTGCCATTCGCATGATGAGCTGAGAATAAGATGTGAAATCTTCTGATGGAGATGGTAGATGGTTTTCACCCACATCAGAAGATGGAGTGGGTAAATTAGAGGGTGATTCCTGGGATATACCAGATGTTGAATCTTGAGTAGAAAGAGAGGATTGAGATGATGGTGATCAGTATGGTGGTTTGGTTACTGATGCAGATGGTTGTGATGGTGAAGGTGGAGGTACACTTGATACCGGATGTTGTTCGATGTCAGGAGGGGGATGTCCTTTGTAGGTGCTGGGGACCTGGAGAGATGTATGATATCGAGAGTGTCTGGAAGAGTGCTTAGCTCATTTGGGTTGTGGTTGAGAATTCAATACCGGGAGAGTGCATTTGAGAGCTGATTTCATAGGGATTGATGTATGGTGAGTCAATGTTGGATATGTTGTGGATGAATGATGTTGGTGACATGGATGAATGATGTCAGTGTTGTGGCGGTGAAGGAGATATAGAAGGTGAATATCAGGGTAGAGAAGCATATTTCATCCTTCTTGGTTCATCATAATAGACATGCTCAACCTGGTCTTCATGATAGTAGAGGTTGTAGTGGTGGTACCGATCCCCATAGTCATCTTTAGTTGGGTATCGAGATGGTTCATGATAATAGTAAAATTCCCTGCATGGAGGGGTATATTGGATTGGAGAAAGGTGTTGTCTCTTCGCCCGGCGCTTGCAGGGAGATTGGTGAGATGATTCCAATCCAGAGACCTGAATAGGTATTGCCCGCCCTGATGATCTAGGGCTTGAATGGGCTGAGGCTGAACTGGAATGAACATCAGCTGGAGATTGGCCAGTACTCGGCGAAAGGCTGGTAACGGAAGCTGCAGCCTGAGCCAGTGTTAAGGCTGGGCTGTCTCTATCCGAAATCGAGCCAGGGGCATTTCTAGATGACTCCTCGAGGATCAGTGATGGAGGCCCCTGTTGAGGTGGATCTATTTGAGTCGATTTTGTAGGTTTCTTAGTTTTCTTAGATTTAGCCTTATCCTTCTTTTTCTTAGAAGATTAGAGCTTTCGATGTGCACATCAAGCTCGATTTTGAAGTGGACCTTGAAATATCTTTTTGTTGAGGTGACGGAGTTGTCGGGCTCAATATAGGGCGAGTAGTTTCCCAACGCTCTGGACGCAGAGTGGTTGATGGATCCATGGGGGCCAGATTGAGAGACTTTTCCCTAAAGGTATGAGCGAAGTCTTTGTAGCATAGTTTTAGAGCAGGTCTTGTAAGCTTTTTACACTCGGGCCAGGAGTGTGTTTGGTGCTGTTCCCTTAAGCAGAAAACACAACAGTCATGATCATTGGTAAGTGGTATCTTATTCGTGGGCGATGGGGGAGGGGAGAGAAAAAATGCAGTAAAAGAGAAAAACGACTAAGGTAAATTGAAAAACGATAACTTACATGGGAATGTACAACAAAGATATTATTGAAATAGAAAATGAAGTTAAAATGATTGGAAAGAATCAGTAGATAGTCAGTAAATGATCTCACAATCGCTCTAGCATTCCGAAAAAGGTCCAACCGAAGTGGCAGCAAAAAGGAACTGAGCGGATCTTTGGAGGGCAGAGCATGCGTTCCACGGAGGAACGTCCTACTAATCACAGGTGTTTAAGCTCTAGAAACTTCAGAGATGTCCTGCACAGGTGCAGAACAACCCAATTGTGTGCATTGCCAGAGGCCACAAAGAAGAATTATAAATACTTCCTTGTTGAATGGGCTCCAGTGTAGAATCATTGGATGAGTTGTTTGCCATATTCTGAGCAGTCAAACTGTTCCTATTGTGTTTGCTGTGGGTGTGGGTGTGCTTGCCTTTACAAAGGGAAATTATGCTAAACACATTATGCATAAATTATAAAATTCACATCAAAACCAGCAGCAACAAAAAAGCTTATTATTTACTACTGTAGAGGCAAAATGTCATACTGTAGGAACTAGGGAATCTTCAGTGGGCTGTCTCAACCATTAAAGAGACACTGGTGAAATATTTTCATATCCCTCATTTGAATCTACAGTTGCATGTTTTGGGGAGCAATTTTAACAACACTGTTATTCAGGGAATGGTAGTATCTGTGGAAGCAAGCTCTGGATTCTATCCACCAACTGAATGGACATTGGCTGAGGGAATTTTCCAGCCAGCTGGAACAACCTCACTGTATCTGGGCAATGTGAGCGCACAAAGGAACACTAGCTTGTATGTGCATTCTTCGACAAAAGGCACATATGCAGGGAGAGTTATGGTTGGTAGAAAGCCAACTGAAATGTCAGTCAAAAGAAGTTTCAGTTCTGTTCCTTTGGGAAGAAGGATGTGATAGGGCAGAATGTCCACTACAGAAAAAAAAAATGTTAGGCCTAGCTGGCCTTTTCGCTTTATGAAGGTCTAGGATGGAGCTATAAAAACAATGAACAAATTTAGGAAAATTCCCTCTGGAACTAAATGGATTGTTAGAAGGATGGCCTGACTTTTCCGTCCAAACAAGTCTATGTTAATTTTGTCACAACATGAAAGCTAACTGGCATAGATTTTATCAGTCAGTGGGAGGTTCATTAGTGAAAGGAACCAGCCTTTGTGCACTGTGCAGTTCTATGCTGTACCATTTATCTTAGCTAATATTCTTGGATTCATTTTTGAGTGAACCCAGGCATGTTTCACCTTGATTATACAATATGTCTGACAAACATAGAGCAAAGAAGAGGATAGCTACAGTAGCTTTGGTTGATTGTAAAATAAATTAAAATAATAATGAGCATAGATTCCAGTAATTCTTTCCATATAACTGAGTAGGAGTAAGTGACATGATTTAAGACAATATGTGTGAATACTTAAAAGGTGGAGACAGGCATTAATCTAGATTTTAAAATTGCCGCTGGGTATGATTGTGTAACCCGTGTTTCTGCCATGTTAATTCATGATTGCTCATTATCTGATCTTTCTTATTAATACAGTGGTGCCTTGCTTTACGATTGCCCTGCATTACGACAAATCTGCTTTACGACGATCTTTTTGCGATCGCAATTGCGATCACAAAACAATGGTCTAAATGGGGGAATTTCGCTTTGCGATGATTGGTTCCCTGCTTCGGGAATCGATTCTTCACAAAACAATGTTTTTCTAACAGCTGATCAGTGGTTTCAGAATGGCCACCCAGTAATTAAAATGGCTCCCCGCTGTGTTTAGGGACGGATTCCTTGCTATACAGGCAGCGAAAATGGCCGCTGTATGGAGGATCTTCGCTGGACGGTGAGTTTTTACCCCATTGGAACACACTGGACGGTTTCAGTGCGTTTCAATGGGGTTTTTAATTTCGTTTTACGATGTTTTCACTTAACGGCGATTTTCCTGGAATGGATTATTGTCGTTAAGCGAGGCACCACTGTAGTAGTAAAATGCTTTAAAAGAGATTGGCTGAAATGCTGATGCTTAGTGTATGTATACAAAGAAAACACCAAAAATTAAACAAATGAACAACATCTAAACAAATGCATAACATACACTGTTAGTATTGGTGCTGTATGAAAAAGTGAATGCAGGAGAATATACCACACAGACAGTACATTCTAGCCAACATGGGCTTTAAAGCCACATTATAAATAATTTATTCCTAAAATGTGAATAGTAATGTAACTGCTGCTAAATCACAAATTAGGAGATAGAGGGCAGTCTATGTTTGTTATTGCAACTAATATAGGAAAAATTAAGTGAACTATAAAAAAAATTCATTTCTTCCATATTCAGCTTAAGCAGCAGATTGTCTTCTGGGATGCATTTTGAGTTATACTCTTGTGCCTTTTGAATTCCAAGTAAAATAGTAGATGCTTCCTAGAATACAGGTTGAAATACATGGCGTGTATTTGTTAATTTAAGCCCATGTCGCTACGTAAATCTAGAAATAAGATGAAACATGAGAACTAAGAGATCAAAAAGTACTTCGCATTTTATAGCAAATTTATTGGGGGAGAGGGCATTTCCCACCATATAGTAAGTGTGTGTGTTTGAGCGTGCGTATGCCTGTGCACATTCCAAATTCAATTTGTTATTAGAGTCACTAATATTCAGTTAGGTTGAAAATACATGCATCTACTTTTACTGTCCTGTGGTCTTACCTGTTATACTAGAACAATGTATGCTGTTGGCTTCCAGGCAAAGTGTGACTTGTGTGGAGTTTTGCATCGAGATGGGAATTCCTATAACTTTGTACCTGTTCCCTAATTTCATTGTATTGGATAGTTCTTCTGTAAGAAACAAATAGGTCTGAGGATTTACTAAATGACAGAACAATCCAAAGTGGCATTGCGGCAATCTGTGGTGGAAGATTCACCAGTTACCAGGTCTTGCTGGGTCATCCCAGTTAGCTGAGGTAGGAGGAAAAGAGCCTTTTCGTATTTTTGCCTTGGCAGTTGCTCATTTTTTGTCATTTTCTGTCACAATGAAGTTAACGGTAGCTTCAGACTGGTATAGGCCCAGGCTTAATCTGGTGTCACACCAGGGGAATGAAGGGACTTTCTAGTGTGACCACTATTTATAAGCCTTTTACCACTGAGTAGGATTACCACAGTCTTTTTATTTTACTTTATTTTTATCCCAACTTACAAATCATTAGAAGACATGAGACATGAGAGAACTTTGGACAGAGTGGGTGGCATATAAGTTAAATAAATAAATAAATAAATAACCAAAATCACAATAAATTGGAATATTAGGATTCAGTTAAACATGCCAATATTAGAAATTGTTCATTAGATACAGTTAAAAGCTGTTGAAATAATGGGGAGCTGTGCGGTCAATACAAAATAAAATACAATGCAAGAGTAGGTGCTTTCTTTATAGGCCACTAAAAATCATTAAATAATATGCATCATACAATATGTGGCCTTGATCTACAAAAGCTTGTGTATTGTATGTTGATTTTTTAGTGGTTTATAAAGATACAGTATTGCCTATTTCTGCATTTGTATTTTAGTTAAAAGACAGTTAAAAGCACAAGAAAAATAGTATACTATTCCAGCCTAGAAATTCATAAAGGCATGCGGTTTCCAAAGACTTACTTTTGAAAGATGGTTTCTGCTTGCCAGCAGAGAAACAATAAGAAGAGAGTCAAAGTAGACTTACTTGGGAATGAGGTCCATGGTCTGGATACAGCCAACAAAAATACCCCCTTGGGACCAAGAGGAGGCTCTCCTCTGAAGATCTCACAAGCAGTGGACTATTATAGAGGAAACCACAGTTCTTCAGATAGCATGGACACAAGCTACATAGGGATTTATAGGTGGCATTGGGCCCAGAAATTGACTGGTAGCCAGTGAAATTATTGTAACATGGAATTTATCCTGTAACCAGCTCTAGTCAAGAGTCTGACTCACTGTTTGGAAAGCTTCCAGTCTTCAAGGCATCCCCTTGTAAAGTGTGCTACAATAACCTAAGGGAAAAGTAACTAAGACATGTAGGACGTATGTCACTACAGCAAGACAGGCAATTCTAGGAGTTCATGTAACTGGCATACCAGCTTTAAATGTGGAAATGGACTCATGTGCGTGTGCGTGTGCGTGTGCGTGTGCGTGTGCGTGTGCGTGTGTGTGTGTGTGTGTGTGTGTGTGTGTGTGTGTGTGTGTTCGGTGCTGTCAAGTAGGAATCAACCAATTTATAGTGACCTGAATAGGGCTTTCAATGTAAGTGAGCTGTTTAAGGAATTAAGGTTTAACCAGTTCTGCTCCCCCAGTGAGTTTCCATGGCCAAGTGGAGATTTCAACCCTTTTTCTCCAGACTCCTAGTCCAACACTATGTCCACTACACCAGACTGGGAATTTAAACTGTCAGTTTAGAACAGTGGTTCTTAACGTGGGCGATAATGCCCCCCAGGGGGCGATTTCATTTTTCAGGGGGGCAGTAGAACGAAAAGGGGCAGCGTGGGGGTGCTGGAGCAGAAGGGGGCGGTAGGGGGGCGCTGGAGCAAGCCAAACCTGTGAAGATGGCTGCAGCCTTTTTACAGTGTGCATGAATGTATATATTTTCCTCCAATTTTAATTTCGTTTCAGACTATATGTCTTGAAATTTTTAGTTCCTGCATTTGTTTTTATGCCCTTTTTATATTTCTTTTTGCGTCTTAAAATTTGCTTGCAACTAAATCATTAAATGTTACTTTTTGGGGGCATTTCATTTTCTTGGAATTGAATTTTTTTTCCAGGGATCATTGGATTTAAGTGTCATAAATAAATAAATAAATAAATAAATAAATAAATAAATAAATAAATAAATAAATAAATAAATAAATAAGATATCATCACCATGGCGAGGGGGGCGATGATAACTTCCTCAATGGCTCAAGGGGGCGTTTCTTTCAAAAAGGTTAAGAACCACTGGTTTAGAACTAAGACAAATTCTTTGGAATTGAGGTTAAGCCACTATGAATATGTAGTAGGATTCCAGCTGTCCATGTGTTTGAAGAAATGTTCAGTAGAAATTTAAAGTACACTTTATAATATACTGTACAATCTAATAGGGCAGTGAGACAGTTAACTGAAGGCTGAATGGAACTCCCCGCCCCCTGTACCATCTACAGCACTATCGTGCTCAGCCTGATTAAGAATTACACACATTGAAAGCTAGCTTCTATTTGTAATTTTAAAATAATAATTGCATGCAGTCAAGTTGATTCCAACTTATGATTACCCTTTCCAAGATTTTCTAGGTAGGGAATACGTAGAAGTGGTTTACCATTCTCTTCCTCTGGGGCCATCCTGGCACTACATAGTTTGCCCATGACTATATAGGCTGGTTGTTCTCATAGGAGACACAGTGGGGAATCAAATTCCCAAACTTTGGCTCCACGGCCAGGTATCTAAACCACTGAGCTATCCAGCCAACTTTGTAATTTTTAGTGGTCTGGTAAAAGTATCGCTCACTCTTGATTTTGGATTGTATGCAAGGACTACGTGGCTCCCCCCCCTTTTTTTGTCTTTTGTTGAAATTTAGATAGTGACTGTTTATCTTTCCAGCCTGTATGTCAACTATAATACCATGAAGAATCCATTTATACTGACCACCTGTTAGATTATGTTCTGATAACACGGACTTTTAACATTACATGAGCATCTGAAAATATCAAGGGCAGAAACCATTTCTTTCAGACGAGTTGTGCAGTGGACTATAGCATGAGTAGCTTGATATTTTTTTTACTTGCACAAGGAGGTGTCCAGTATGGTTCTAGTGCACAAGCAGAAATCCCATATGGGACATTAACAGTCTCTACTTGCATAATAACAAGCAGAAAGATTCAGTGTTACAATGCCAGTGGAGGTTTCTGCTCTGCCACTGCTGAGCAGAAGATTTTTTTCTAATAAAAATTAGTATGTATCATGAATTCTGAACAAAAGAAATCCCCTACAGACCTCAGCTACTTTATATAGAACATTATGTGTCTTATTCACCATCATCTGGCTGAACTAGCCAGCTTCTTCCTGAAAAGTCTTCATGGTCTCCATGTCCCTGAATCATTTTAACAGAATTGTCTGCTAATTCAGTGTTTTGATATATAGATAAGAACATTTTAAAAAGATTAAAAATGTTAAAGATATCCCATGATACGAAGAAGAAAATCCTTATCTAATGAAAGTCTGAGTTCTTAGCAGAAGCTTCTCTCTATTTTGGGAGTATGCACATTAGCTTGCTTTGTTTGGTGATTGTTCAGGATTAAAGGGAAGGATTATTTTGAAGTCTTGATTCCACAAACCAAGTAGAGCCTTAGTCATGTGTCTCAAACATCAATAGACTTTCAGATCTGATTACAGGCTATTGATAATGGCTGTTTCTGGTCTCATCTGTATGTAGCTAGAGCAGGTTATTTCACACAAGTGCTGAAATAAGCCATTTGAAAACTATAGAAAGTAAAGTACAAAAATAGCCTCATCTGCCTTCCTTTATTATTATTCTGAATATGTGCAGCTGGATTACTGAAATCAGAAATAGCAGAGATCACGAGGGGAACAGCAAGCTAGAGGAAGGAAATTACAAAATAAAAGTTACTATACGACAACTTCACCATAGGAAACTAAAAGGAGGAAGTCAAATTCTGATAAGAACAAGATACTGCTGAAGTAGTTTATTTAATAGAAGGATTTTACATTTTATTTTCCTTTTCTAAAAATACTTATCTCTTGTCCAGATATGACACATACCTTCTTGTGCAAACTTGGAAACCATTCAGCCACATGGACAATGGGCCACTGCACAAGTGGAAGGAATGAACAGGATTTTGCCAACAAATCAAATATTTCACATTTTTTCAAAGGCATTCAAGGAATGTAGAAATATATTATAATTAAATGTCATTCAAATTTTACATAACATTCAGTGCTCGTATATATAATAATGTTATTGTTCTTAGTCATGCAATACAAAATAAATTAACTCACCTCTTAGAAACACAGTCAATGACTGAAATCTGAAATGCATGCTACTGGTTGAAAACCCTTGAAATGCCTTAATTGCTTTGGTATCAATCATTTCAACTACCTGTTTATCTTAAAAAGAAAAGCATAAGGAGACTACTACATATTTTTAATGAATCAAAGTTCATCCCAGGTTATTTGCTCCAATGGGATTAGATTAAAAAGGTTAAGGAACATTAAACATTATAGTTTAAAAACAGACTCCCTCTCCATACCCCTTTCAAAAACTAGTGACATATATGCATTATCACATTCAGATACCTTTAGGGTACATGTTTTGTAAGTGCAGCTGTGCTTAAATAGTAAATCTCCAAACAATCCAGATGAGATTCTTCATGCTTAAGGAATAATCCAAGCTTTCAAGTTTCTAAGCTTACACCCATTCAAAAATTTCAGTGGGACAAGGCCTAGTCCCTATGAGTGATGCTCTTAACAGTTTAAATTTGTGGTCAAATGGAATGGGAAAGCAAAACAGGAGGACTAGGCTATAACCATACAGAGAATCAGACAATGTCTAAATGCAGTGATATCACCCTATATTTCATCTTTCTGATTCATTTAAAATCTTATAGACATTAGGTGGCTGTAAGAAGGTCCAAGGTACAGGGCAACTTGATGCTTAAAAAAGGGCTAAGGCTCTAGTTAACTTCTACCAGAACCGAGCAAAAAAGCAGGAAGCTCATGTTATAGTCTTATTCTTTTGTGGTCAGGTTATGCCAATAGGTTTGGTAAAACAATCCTCATATGTTCATAGGGTGATGAAAGACCAAGCACTTCCAGAGGCCAGTCAGCTTATTATAGCCAGATCAGGAGGGCATTTACCTCATTTCCCCCCTTAGTATCCCCATTTCCTCATCCACTGACATTAACGGGGAAAAAATAAGTATGCCAGGTACTCTTGATTGCAAGCTAATTCATGATAAGCTCAGGAAAACAGGGGAGCTTTGAGCATTTTGGATCAAAGCTTATCACTGACCTGTCCTTATAAGATCCCGTTTCAGGCTGTGCCTCTGGCAGAAACACTAGCAGTGGTATGCCTATGTCTTAAGAGTTTTCCTTGGGTTTACTGGGAAGTCTCAGAAATGTCATCCCACCCAGAAGAATGGCATTTCTTTTCCATTTAGTAACTAGTGAGATGCCCTTTTGCTGGTTTCCAGAGTGCTCTATCAATTTTCTGTAAGTTAGGCACATGGTTAGTGAAATTTTGTAAATATCTGCCTCCTGATTACTAAGATTAGCTTGGAATACAGAGTGCTCTGCACACATTTGCCTCGAGGTAAGATTCAATTTTTTGAGCAATTTCCTCCCACAATATAACATGGTGAAGAGTATCCAAACCCTCTAGAAGTGAGTTTTCAGGGAAGGCATGGAAAAGATTTGTGGGAAACATCTCCCACACAATTGAATATTTATTAACAAAGTGGAAGCTACAAGCCAAACTACAGTTTAAATTTCATATCTCAGTCCTAATATCAATATTTTCTTGGGATGTTGAAATGGTAGTAAATAGGCTTGGGCATATCGTGAGAATGGCTGATGGTCAGATTCCAAAATATCTCCTGTATGGAGAATTAGTGAAGGGAAAGCACCCCAGAGGGAGACCACAGCTGCGATACAAGGATATCTGCAAGCGGAAGCTGAAGGTCCTAAGAATGGACCTCAACAGACATCTGAGCATTCAGCCTGGAGGCAGGCAGTGCAGCATGGCCTCTCCCAATTTGAAGAGGAACTTGTCCAGCAGGCCAAGGCAAAGAGGCAGTCCCGAAACCAGCAAAGTCAGGGAGCTGGATGGGACAGACTGTATTTGTCTTCAATGCGGAAGGGATTGTCACTCTCGTATTGGCCTTGTCAGCCATACTAGACGCTGTCCCAAGACCTTTGTTCGGAGCATGTTACCACAGTCTCTCGAGACTGAAGGATGCCTACAGGAATTCTGAATCCTGAAACAATCTTACTGGTCAGATTTCATTTTATACTGAGTCCCGGATGTAGGACACAGTCAAATTAAAAAGTGCTACAAGGCCTATATAAATCTAAAGAGGATCCAGTACAAGTCCCCACTTACACTCTTTTTTCATTCTCTTGCTGCCCAATAGCACTACACCATAAATAAAACAAATGCAGTGATTGAAATCGTATCTTTCAGTACAAAAACATTGCATAGGTTTTACCACCAAGTACTCGATACTTCATATCTTCTCGCAGCGGTGAAGTACATAAACTGCATACAAAATCATGTCTCAGTGTTGCAGATTCTGTAGCACCAGGTGTATGAACTCTGACATAATGAAATCCTAACAAAAGCATAAAAACACTACATTAAATTTTCTACAATTTCACAGAAAGGTAAAAACTTCTATTGGTTTTAAGCTTCATTCATCATCAAATTGAAACCACTCTCTGACAATCTAGCCCTTTAAAGAATTGTCCTGTAAGTGTTGAAAACTGTGGCATCCTCTTTTGTGCATTACACAAAACTAATCAGTTTTGTGTAATGCTGTTAATTATCTATAATGTGTATTGCAATATCCATTACACCAAGACTCACTCTGAGATGGTTGCACATAGAGCATATCATGAGAAAAAAAGATTCACTAAAAAGACAATAATGCAAGGAAACATTGAAGGCAAGAGGGAAAGGGGAGAACCAAATATGAGATGGATTGGCTCCATAAAGAGAGACAGCCTTGAATTGCAATAGCTGAGTAGGACTGTTAATAAAACACATTTTGGAAGCTACTTGTTCATAGGGTTGGAGTTGACAACAGCACATAATAGCAGTATTGAGAGATTTGTCTGCAAGGGAAAGGGAATAAAATTATAATATTTAAATTTTGAAATGTATGTACAGAGATACACTGGGGACTCATTATCTCAGCATGGTGGCCTGACATTTCAGGCTGGGACACCCCACAACTTCCATCATGAACTGTCTGTGGTTATATGTTATTCATTCAAACCCTGTTGCTGTGGATTATAACAATGAGGTTGCTATTCAGTTTCTTAATTGTTGGGTATTAGACATTTCCTAACTGAAACAGAATTTACAAGTATGTTTACCTCATACAGGGTGAAATGCCAAATATATGGATGTTGATTGCTTGCAGGGAATCACTATATTAACTAGCAAATGTATTACATTGGATTTTTTTATCTCTATCAAACTACTACATTGGTGTGTGCATGTTCTTCAATTTAGTCATGTTTTATAACTACAATTAGCCATAAAAAGTCTAGATTCTGAATAGATCATATAGACCAGATGGGTGGGATATAAATCAAATAAATAAAAAAAATATAAATAAATAAAATAAAGATCTGGTACAGGAATGCCATGACTTGTGCCTACTAGTCACTTTGCTAACAATGCACATCGTCAGAAAATGTTTTTTAAAAGTTTCTCTACTTGAAAGGTACTGTGTGGTTTTTCAATACTGTTGAGATAATAACAATTTCACATGCTTTCTAATACTGGATCTCAATGAGGATGCATGCGGGTGACACCAGTCTGAAGATCTGACACAATTGCTTTAAACACAGAGATTCAAAGGTGATTCTCAAGCTGCAGAGCTACAGTCATGCTACAGGTATCAAGGTAAACCTATGCAATACAAATAGCACAGTCAGGTGTGTAAGCTGTATCAGAGAAAAAAGTGTTGGGTCCTGCCCCACCTCCTCATCTGAGTGGACAATTACACAAGGAAGGTGGGGAGAGGAAGCACGCTGCAGCAAGGGAATGGGTGATCATATGGAGAAGGAGGGAGAGGGAAATGTACAGCAACTGTGGAATATCTGTGCAGCTGCCGTCAAACTGGGCAGAACTGGCAAACCGCAGATCATGTTCATATCTAGAAAGCACCAAACACACTGATATGAAGTATCTGGTGCATGACCTGACTGGGAAGGGGACTACCAGATTACCGTATTTTTCGCTCCATAAGACGCACAGACTTTCCACCCCCCTGTTTTGTGGGGAAAAAGTGAGTCTTATGGTGCAAAAAATACAGTATCTACTGTCCCATGGCAGGGATGACAACAGATGGAGTTACATTTCCACTAACACAGCTGCGCAGTTTGAAGGTGCTCCTGGATTCATCCTGAGGCTGGATGGCCAGGTCTCGGCGATGGCTAGGAGTGCATTTCCACAATTAAAACTAGTGTTCCAGCTATATCCATTTTTTGAGTGATCTGATCTGGCCACTGTGACACATACCCTAGTTACTTCCTAGCTGGATTACAGTAACGTGCTCTATGTGAGGCTGCCAATGGAAAGTATCAGGAAACTTCAATGGGTCCAAAATGCAGCAGCTAGATTGCTGACTGGCCCAGGTTACAGGGATCACATAATGTCCCCTGTTGCAGCAGCTCTACCGGCAGCTGATCAGTTTCCAGGAACAATTCAAAGTGCTGGTTTTAACTTATAAAGCTCTAAATGGCCTGGGTCCAAGCTATCCCAAAGACCATATATCCCATTATGAACTGGCTCAGGTGTTAAGATCATCAGGATAGGCCTTTCTCTCGGTCCCACCACCTTCATCTGATGGGGACATAACATTTTTTATTGACATGGAAGAGGGCCTTCTTTGTTGCTGCTCTCAGACTTTGGAATTCCCTCCCACAGGGGTTTGACTGGCCCTATCTTTACCCTCCATCTGTAAGCAGGCAAAGACTTTTCAGTCAAACTTTTCCTGAGTAAATAACTGCTGAGTGGGTTTTTTAAAATGGATTTTTGTACTTCACTGCATTGAATGTATTTTAGTGTTGCTTATGTTTTTTGGTGTTGTATTCATTATCCTTTTAGTATTGTATACTCATTTTACTGCAGTGAGTCCTGGACCCTTTTTGCACGGCAGGAGAGGAAGTTGAATATGTTCCATATGTGTTGTCGCTAACACATTTTTGGCATCACCTGGCAGGACAAAGTTCCAAATAGAGTAGTCCTAGAACAAGCTGGAATTTTTAGCATGTATACATTACTGAAACAGCAGCGTCTGCATTGGCTAGGACATATCGTCAGAATGGGTGACAGTCAGATTCCAAAATATCTCCTGTATGGAGAATTAGTGCAGGGAAAGCACTCCAGAGGGGGACCATAGGTGCGATACAAGGACATCTGCAAGCGGAATCTGAAGGCCTTAGGAATGGACCTCAACAGATGGGAAACCTTGTCATCTGAGCATTCAGCCTGGAGGCAGGCAGTGTAGCATGGCCTCTCCCAATTTGAAGAGGCACTTGTCCAGCAAAGAGGCAGGAAACCAGCAAAATCAGGGAGCTGGACAGGGTACAGATTGTATTTGTCTTCAGTGTGGAAGGGATTATCACTCTCGTATTGGCCTTGTCAGCCACACTAGATGCTGTTTCAAGACCTCTATTCAGAGCATGGTTATTATTTATTTATTCTATTTATATCCCATCTATCTGGTCTTGCGACCACTCTAGGCGCAAGACCAGATATGTTACCATAATCTCTCGAGTCAGAAGGATGCCTGCAACTCATTGTTACTAACGTAATAGCTGTCTTTTAATGATGGAAGCCACCTTGGGTCATTTTTAAGGAGAAAGGTGGTTTAAAACTATTTTAAATAAATAAAATTAAATAAATATCTTAACAAAGACATTATTTCAAAAACCTGTGGAGCACATTGGGATTTTACGGGTGTCACATGCAGACTTGACAAGGGCTGCTGAGTTAACAATCTTGCATGCTTTCTAACACTTTGTATCAGTTGGAGGAGGCTTTTAAGAACCTGAAAGGAATCTTGCTGACTAAGCTATTGGTAAAGTTCTTTTTCCTGCCTATAGCTTGTGCCTTAAATTTCTTGTTTGTTTGCTTTGCTTCCTTTCCTTCTCTTCTTTCCTGATCATTGAGCATCGAGGGGTGTCTTCCACATGTGGAGAATCAATTTTTTTCCTATTTTTCTACTGACTGTAAACAGCAACTGTATTTTCCCCCACTTAAAATGCTTCTAGAGTGATTTTTAACATGTAAAGGGCTAGTCACTGTGAAAGGGGTGAGCTACTGAGACCTAAGTTGTTCTTTCATGTTTTGTCTGTGCAGTTGTTATTTGTACATGATATTCTGCTAACTGAGCTGTAAATGGAATCAACTAAATTATCCAATTATTTTATTCTGAACTATAAGGATTTATTATATAATTCCGCTTATGCATAATATGTTCTATTGTGGTGAGGGAATTAACCTTCTCTGCTTCCTTCTCAGTTACCCTACGAGTGCCTCATGTCAGTGGGAAAATAATATTGTGAAGCAGTGTTCACATGAATTCATGTCTGGAAATCACTCTACTAGCAATCACAAAACACTGATGTTCTCACAGATGTGTATCCAATGAGACTTTTCTAGCAAAGAAATAACAGTACATTTTTTAAAAGCTACGCTTACTATAGCAGTTAGTTACTTTAAAAAGAACAGAGCCTGAATTCTTTAAGTGTGGCATACCTTCAGAAAATGGACAAGTTTCTTCAGAACAAACAAATCTTGCTCCTTGTGTATATTTTGTAACAACAGTCATTTCAACCACTATTCCCTCTGTCATATAAAATCTCTGAGAAGTGTAATCAAATGGAAATTTGCAGAGATTGAGAACATAACCAGGCAAGGAAGGTAAATGTGTTATTTTCAGAACTATGTTCAGCTATAAAAAAGAAGGAAAAAAGAAAACAAATGTTCAAGATAATGCTCATTGCAAGCATTGAAGAACAATACTTACAATGTAACCATGGCAAGAAGTTTGTATAATTGAAGTTGTGGAGTGTGAGGTTGCCCTGGGTTTGGTGAGGAAGGTCATGCAGAATGCAGCTACAAGACTATTGACAGTGTGTTATATCATGACTAAAAGAACTGTACTGGCAGTGGCTACCAATAAGCTACTGTACCACCATGGCTGATAATTTCACTGTTACCTAATAAGGACCTAATTCATTTGGGATTAAATAACTATAGAGATTATCTCTATATTTATGGGCCTGTCCAGTCTCTGGATTGCTGAGTATGAATGTTTACAGTTGCTACTCTCTGACAATACCCCTTATATTGCAAGTGGCCAAATTCTGTGCTGCAGCGATAGTTATTCACGACCAGATGTTCGGGTTGCAATCTAAGACGGACAATGTAATGCTTTTATAACATAATACTGACTGAGGTTTCACCTATTTTAAAGATATAGAGTCAGCTTAGCTGATTATGTTGTTATGAATTTGAAAGGAGGGGTTGATCTATCATGATTTTAATGGAAGAATGTATAATTTTGCTTAGTTTTATGAAATTGCAATTGGATTTTAGATTCTCCTGCCAACCTAGCAGTTCGAAAGCATGTAAATGCGAGTAGAGAAATAGGTACCACCATGGTGGGAAGGTAATGGCGTTCCATGTCTAGTTGCACTGGCCACGTGACTACGGAAACTGTCTACGGACAAACGCTGGCTCTATGGCTTGGAGACGGGGATGAGCACTGCCCCCTAGAGTCAGTCACGACTGGACTAAATGTCAAGGGGAACCTTTACCTTATTTTAAATTGTTCTGGTCTTGCTGGTCTTTGACCCTAATAAAGTTAATGAATGAATGAGTATGAATGCTCCTGAAGCGTCCACATTGATACTGAATTTTATTGTGTGACTACAGCAATAGAACATTTAATGTTGAAGCATGTGCCTTCTGGTGCTCTCCCCTGTTTGGCATCAGATAAATAACTACAGTCTTCCTTAAAACTCTTTTGTAATATATCCTTCCCAGTTATACTGTTACTGCTGATACATAGAAATGACTGGTTTATTATTGTATTTCTATTACTGGTGTTGTTTTGTGCCCACTGCTTTGAAAATTAGTTAGGAACTGGTGTGTGTGTGTGTGTGTGTGTGTGTGTGTGTGTGTGTATATATATACTGTATATATACTGTATATACACAACACACACACATGTATGTGTGTGTGTGTGTATGTATATGTATACACACACACACAACTGGGAAATAATAAACAGTTAGAATGTTCACTAACAGGTGACTAAGCAAAGGCCAAAAGCCAATGTCCCGAAAGTGGAGTGTAATGGATCTTTCCTCATAACTGCACCAGAAGGCAGAAAACCTTTTCAAACTGATTTTCAGGCAGCACTGGTGGCTGTGGGTGTTGCCAGAAAACTAGTTTGAAAGAATGTCCCTGTCCTCTGGTGCAGGTATGGGGGTAGTTCCAAGGACTGTAGCAGGAGCAGAGCTCACTGCTCACAGACTCCACTGACAGTATTGCTCTTGAAATTGGATGTAACCCCATATGTGGAGTTGCTTCTTTCATCCTTTTCAGAAGGCTGACTCTTCAGGGATGCACAGTGGGGAACTGAACTCCCATCCTCTGGCTCTGCATCGAGATATCTAACTCACTGATGTGCTTCATTTAGGTTTTACTTCATTCCTTCACCTCCTTGGAATCTGAGTAGTTGTTTGTTTACTTGGTTACAGGCTGGTCTTGGATACAGCTTAATGTGGTTTTCAGCAAGAGAATATCCTCAAGTATAAAACTGTGTTGCCGGAGAAACAAGGCAAAGCTCACTCATGCTATAGTATTCTCATTTATTGTATTGTGAATGCTTGGCAGTGAAAAAAGCTGAGAAGAAAAAATGATTTCTTAAAAATGTGATGTTACTGATGGATAGGGTTTTACAAATGCCACAAACTGCCAGAAAGACAAAACAGTAGGTCTTTTATGTTTACTGCTCCAGGAAATCTGTTCAGATATTGTAAAGAAGGAAAGCACCCTAAACCTGGATACAGAACCCATAATGCTGACTTCCATTAATACCACTTACCTGTGGCATTCTGCAAGCTGAAATATCAATTATTCTTACTCCATTCATACAATAACAATAGAATCTTTACAATCAAAACCTTAAAAGCAGTGCAAACCTACCTGAGCTTCAGTCTGTAGCTGTTCTATTAGTGACAGTGTTTTAACAGCTGTAAAACATACCTATAATTCAAACCCAGATTCATTTTGTAAGAAAACAACAGTTTATAGCAGTCATGCAATGTTTGATCAAAATGTGTAAGATTTCTTACAGATTGAAATATTTGCGTGGCCTTCACAGGTTCATGTAGAACATAGTTTCCAAACATAGCATCCAATTCAGTAATATCAGATGGATTTATTGATATAAGAAACCGAAATACAGCATAACTTTGTTTTGAATCTGTAAGACCAGACAGCAACAAGCGTTACTATTACTCATACACCAATTTAAACTAAATAGCTCTAATCTTTCAACAGTATTTTAATGTTACCACTGTTATATAACTTGCAATCATCTACAAATTTCTGAAGGCCACCACTCCTGTCAAGATAAATCAAGGCAATTTCCTTCATTCTCAGAAGATTCGGTTTCATTTTCCCTGGATGGCTTTATATGTAATACTGGAATAAATCAGAGATTGTAAAAAGGATCAAAACATTGACACATAGACTAAGAACAATACTATACAAACTACTGTTTATTTTTTTGAAAAGGTAAAGAGGCTAAAAATGTAAAACTTGCTTAAATTCCTCAGGAGCATCAGAGAACTGAAGAAGATAAATTTGGTACAAAATATTCATTCCATTAATTATAGCAGAATCCTTTTAACTGATAAGTTAATTTGAAATGTTTAGAATTTAAATTCTTTACAAAATTGATTTAATAAATTTCCATACACACCTGAGATGATTTCTCATATGATTTTTAGGTAGATATGCAGTGAATTTTTTTTCTTAATCTTTAAACAACCCAACCAACGCCCCAAATGTAATAGCCTCAATAAACTGACTATAAATAAATTCATGATTGGACGACCAGTGTTTGACCAAAATTTTAAGGCATGTTATTACACAATATCAATAACACAATACAGTATATATATTATACAATATATTATATAACACAATATTATGTCAATAGTATATTTTTTTTTCAGGTTGGGTATTTTTTTTTTCTTTATGGCTTTTGTGTAGTTCCAGTCAGAACTGAATTTCAGAACAGGGAACTCTTCATATATTTTCTTAGAAGTATGGGGCAGCTCCCCTCTTCATTCTACTGTATATACATTTTCCTCCAGTGGTGTCTCTTACCCACTTGGCCCTCTCACTACTTTAACAAATTTTAATTTTAAATTTTAATTTCATCAAAAATTTCTTGTTGAGTTCATTTCTGCATTCTCAGTGATGCGTTTTCATCAGTGGATATAGGCCTTATTGCACTCTGCTTATCTGAAAGACAACCAATCGCTTCTTGGTTTGTTAGGTGACTAGCTGAATACCACCCTAGACCAACAGTTTTTTTGCAAGTGCCATGTTCATACCCTTGCCTCCAAATCCTCCTGTGTGTGTTCTGACATCACAATGGATGCATCAGCTTTCCCTTCTTGCCACTGCTAATGTTGTTCCTTCCTTCTCTATATATTTGAAGCAGGGCAACTGTCTTCCCATATAGATGTTATTTCAAAATTCCAGTGCATGAATTGCTTGTGTGAAAGTAGTCACCTATGCACAAGCAGACAGTTGACATTCTGTACAGTTACAGTATTAATTCCCCCCAGCCCCTTAAAAAAGTCTGCATTTTAAAGATGAGATCATCTTAATTTCCCCCCTTTTTTTGGTTGGCCCCTCCAAATCAGAATACTGTAACATCCAGAATGCTTTTCTACTCAGGGTGAAGAATTGGGCGGGGGAGGGTGCAAATAGTTGCATCTCCTTAATTTTATCAAATGGTACCTCATGTGCCAATGTGTGGTAGACAGCCCCTTACAACTTAAAATCTATAGTTGTATGTGACAAAGAGTAAATGTTTTAATGAGAGGGACCTTCTCTTAGAAATGTCATTCCAATGGACTAGGGTGGGCAATCGCCCCCAATAGCTACATTTATCTCTTCTTTCAAAAGCAAAAGTTAATCACCACAGACTGGTAAGAACAGTCAGCAGAAATAATCAGAACTGTAACTCCTGAAGAACAAACATGACATGGTTTGTCCCGCCTCAGACCTGCCTGTCTTCCCTCACAATGCTCTTCTTCTGCCACTTCTTCACTAGCCTTTCCCTCAGTGATGAAGACATCTGTCTCTGTTCTGTGTCTCATTCTGAAGAACATTCTGACATATGTCCCAAAGTTCAAGGTACTTTCTCCACAAGTACCACCCATCACATCTCCAAAATTAAAAACTGAAAGTAAATGCCCTCTCTAGCCTATGATAATCTGTTGCTTCGTGATCTCAACATTCTAGGTTTCTGTTTAAAAGCTCAGTAAAACAGCTAAATAGCATCAAAAGCATGAATTTTTACCTCAGAGTGCTTAATTAAAAAACACATTCATTCATTCTGATTACCATCATACTAAATTCACTGTCTATCACATATTTAGGTTTCACATGGCTGTGTTCAGGTTTGGGCCTACTGGTTTAATTGTCCTTTCTGTACACATAGATAGTTGCTAAACTGTGGCAAAAATTGCATATCTCATTACCTTTCTGTTTTCAGAAGACAATGGATTTGAGGGATAAATGAAGATTATTTTATTATATTCATCCAGAATGAATGAGCATAAAACGTGTAATTAGGTCTCCAAATTAAACTCTGATTTTTAAAAATTATTATTGAACAGTTACAATCTTTGTAAGGCTTTTTACTGAAATGGTGACTACAGTTACCAGGTACTCTGATGCAAAGTGACAACCAGATAATGAAGGCACTCTTTCTTAGTTCTGGGCAAGAGAATGGGCTGAGAGAAACATGTTTTTCATTTCCCAGAGGACAGTGTATTTGATATGCCTTTTTCTTTCTTGGGGAACAAAGGTGGGATCCTGGTGAAACAGAGATCCACTGAAGGACAATGATGACTTCTAGATAAACATTTTGATTGTGTTAGGATTAAGCGTTACTTGCTCTTATTAGATCTAAGATCAAAGCTTAAAAGTATTTATTTCATTTTTTTACTTTAGTAAGCTTTATACATTTAAAACTTTATCCTTTTAAAAAGTATCAGTTGTAGAACTGACAAGAAAATACACTTCTCCCTTAAATTGCACTTGTTTCAGCAACATGGTTTTGTTTATACACAGATTTTTTTAAATCAATCAATCCATCAATCCATCAATCAGTCCTGTGTTGCTATTCATCTCCAGGAAGTAGCCTGAGAAAGATGGGTCTCAGATTTACCAAGGCTCCTTTTGATTGTGGTGAGGTGACCCCTGGTCCAATGGTGGTGGCCAACTAGCCCCCTCTCCTGGCACGGCAGCTCCACATGGCGGCTGAGACATACTGTATAGTTAATACAGTAAACTCACCTGTTCTGTATGTTTGTGTGTATGTTTATGATTTGTAGTTATATTTGGGGACATAAGAATTACATAGAGATTTTGAAGTAAATGAGGGTCTGGCATCCCTAACCCCAGCATTCTTGGAGAAGTGTACTGCAATGTAATGGCCTCCATACTGTTACTGCATTTACATTGTGTGTTTACTAATAGATTGCTTTAACAAGAATGTGTTTGTAGAAAATGCAGTATATAAATAAACTGAACATATGTTGTTGTTGTATCAACATACCAGTTACCAATAATCTCTGCTGCTATCCTGCAAACATAGAATTATAGAGGTGGAAGGATTCCTAAGCGACATTAATTTCAGCTCCTTAATAAAGCAGCAAATGCTATGGCACCCCATGCACATCTATGCTGTCTTGCATGGGAAGCCTTGATCCTAACAATCATGAAGTCAACATGAAAATGTTCTAAGAAGCTAATGTCTTGCTCACATTGAGCAAAGGGGTTGTTTAAGTTAAGAGAAATATTCTCTTCCATAGTTTCAAAAAGAGGCTGCTGTGAAACCTAGCATTATATATCTGCAGTCCTCCAAACATTCACAGATCTTGCTTGCCTACAAAAGATTTACTGGCCCAATTCAAATCAGTGTAGAGACCAAACTGGATGGGAGGCCAACTTTGTAACTAGCACCTGGGTGCTTGCTTTTTTTTTTTTTAGTGAGTGTGTGCATTCTTCAATGTACGAGGGGATGCTGATAATTATTGAGCCTTTCCCAGAAAAAAATGAGCTAGGAAGCTGTAACTGCCACGCTATTCTACATATTTCCCCAGGAAGTCAATGCATTTGTGACATCCGTCTTGCAGCTTCTTAAGTCCCTGCAAATAAAATTCTTCCAACTGTTGGTGCAACCACTCATTTGCAGCATGAACAGTCCCAAATTGTTGTCCCTTTAGGTGTTTTTTGAGTTTGAGGAACAGATAATAGAAGGCGCCAGATTGGGAGAATAGGGTGGATGGGGCATCACTTGAAAGTCTAAAGATGTCAGTTTTGCCATTGTTTCACCTGCAGTGTGTGACGAGGCATTGTTATGCAACAGGATGACACCTTTGGAGAGCTTTCCTTCACGTTTTTCCTTGATGTTTTGCCTCAACTTCGTCAATAAAGTACAGTAATATTTTGCATTGATGGTTGAATCCTGTTGGAGGTAGTCCACCAGAACTCCCTTCTTATCCCAAGAAACTGTTGCCATTTGCTTCTGCACTGACCTTTGCACTCGGAACTTCATTGGCCTGGGGGAACCACTGTGCCTCCATTCTTTAGACCACTGGTTCTTAACCTGTTACTCAGATGTTTTTGGACTGCAACTTCCAGAAGCCTTCACCATCAGCTCTGCTGGCTGAGGTTTCTGGGAGTTGCAGTTCAAAAACACCTGAATAACAAAGGTTAAGAACCACTGCTTTAGACCGTTCCTTTGTCTCAGGATCATAACAGTAGATCCATGTCTCATCACCAATTATCAGTTTGTCCAGGAAATCTGACTCATTTCTTGCAAAATGTTCCAAAACAGCCACTGATGACTCCACACGTTTCCTCTTTTGTTCGGTTGTCAAAAGTTTGGGGATCCACTTTGCTGCCAGCTTTCTCATTTCAAAGTCGTTGTGGATAATGGCATCAACTGTCTCATGTGATATTCTCATATATATATATCAATACTTTTGGCTGATATTCGGTGGTCCTCCATGATCATGTCATGGATGGGTTTCACATTTGCCGGCAGAGACAGAAACAGGCCTTCCACTGGGTTTCTCAATTTCAACACTGAAATGGCCAGTTTAAAAACTGACAACCCAATGTTTAACAGATGAAGGGCCACTGTCACTCAGTTTGTAACATTTCATCATGGATCTGCTATGCGCCTTTCCCATGGAGAAACAGGAATTTGATTATGGTCCTATGCTCTTCCACACTGAACTTTTCTAGAGGTGCTGCCATGTTCACTTTGGACCTGAACATGAAAGTTAAAATCATAGGTAGTTGATTTTTGCACCGTTGAATATAGACAAATTGGCCAATACACCCTGCAATTTATAGCTTCCTAGCTCTTTTTTGGGAAAGGCTCAATACTTATCAGCACTCCCTCGTATGTGTGCACATATAGACTTCTCCTTTCAACAAAGTTGAGGTTAGGGCACAGGATCCCCATGTAGTTCAAAATCCATATATAACTCTTATGCCCCCGCCCAAAAACATAACTACAAAACATAAACGGTAGATTCACAGAAAGAGAGTGAGCTCCCCCAACCTGCACCAGCCTCCTCCCAGCACTCTCCCTGACTACCATATAGAGCCACCACGCTGGGAGAAGGGGCCAGCCAGGCAACCACCATTGGAATGGGAGCTACTGCACCACCAGCAACAGGGGCTTTCTAAAGTCAACAGGGGCTTTTTCAAGCCACTTTCTGGAGAAGAATAGCAGCACAGTATTTAATGAATGTTTATTTAAATATTTATGTATTTATTGAAAAAAAGTCCATGGGGAGAGGAGTCTTTAGCCTCTTGTCCCAATGGATATCTGCTCACATTGCACTCCCCACTCCTCTCCGCTGTTGCTCTCAAGAGGAAGCTGTCAAAAGCTTCTTTCTCAGTAACCCAGCTCCACAAACTGCTGTTGGTTTAAAGCAAATAAGAGAATCAAAAGCAAAACTTAACGGTCAGTTGAAATCTGAGAAATTTGTTTCTTACATAGCAACTGTATAGGAAGTTGTGTGCATACACACACTCATTAACTACATCATTCTATAGGTAATACCAAGAGGCCTGACCTCACCACTTCATCATTGTTCAGCTCTTGACTTTATCTAGAATCCTTTCGGTACCCTTCCTCTGTGAGGAAGAGCCTGGAACTCATCATATGACAGTGACTAATAAGGATCAGAAAAGACAGTAAAAACGTTATATTTAAGAGACAGTACTTTTGTGAAGCCAATCTTGGTTGAAGAGGAAAGCATATGTAAAATGAAATTATCCCAGATAGACTCCAGTTTGTCTAGGAGAGATTGGAGTGGCAGTTTAGCTGTATTCTGCTTGCCTTAATATAATCTGAAAGTTTCTGGATTTTGTTTATACTGGCAGGTTGCTTTCATTGTTCTTTCTTTCATTTTCAGACTTGACCAACATCTTTACCTGAGAGGATATATGTCTGTCTGAGATAGATAGATAGATAGATAGATAGATAGATAGATAGATAGATAGATAGATAGATAGATAGATAGGACAGACAGACAGACAGATAGATAGGACAGACAGACAGACAGACAGACAGACAGACAGACAGACAGATAATTAATGGCCATGGTGATGACAAGACACAATATATTCAGTGCTTCAGATGGTAAATTTGTTTTCATTCCTTTGAGAAGTCTTTATTTTGCCCCAACCTTTCAGACCCACAAATTCTCACAACATTATTTAGCATACATAGATATGTCACAACAGTTGTCTATTCTGGCCAGTCTTTCTGCAAACTGTTTGTGGAAAGTTTTCTTTATCAAGCAAAAACTAACTGAAATCCCAATCACAATAGTGTAAGAGTTTTAATACAATCAGATTGTAATACATTAGTTTTCTAAATACAAGAAGTAAATTTCCCTTCTACAAATGTTTTTTTTTTTCCGTCTATTTCTTTGGGAAAAAAACATTACGTAGCTTCTTCTACAAGAAGAGGAACAAAACTACAGTCATAAGAGACATGTTATCAAGAAATATTTAAGGCTAATTTGTTCCACCCTGGCCTAACCTAGGGAGTATATTTTTAGGTTTTACAACAGGAATGAATCATATTTCTCAGTAAACTGGTCCTTTAACCATACTTCTGTGTCCACCATGACTATAGGTGGCATATCTAGAAAGTTAGAGGAATGCATTGTCAATAAACTGACTAGCCTTCAAATCTGTACTGGATAAGATTATCTTTTTTTAAACAATAATATACAAAAATAGTTGCATAATGCCATTTCAAGAACAAAGTCAACATAGTTATAAAGGCTTTTAAATGTGTTAAAGCGTGCTGCTATTAGAGACAGCCAATATGGATATGCTAATGTAAACTGGAGTGAAACAGTCAGTGTCTTTTCTTAGAAAAAGTCTCAAGATTAAGAAAGTTAACTAAATACATTTATTCTAAAAATATTTTTGTGCAGAAGGTGTAACAGTCTAAGTAATCCAAAATGCCCACATTCCTCATAATTACAGCAGATAAAGTTTGTTCAACATATCAAATGAGGCACTAGTTGCACGTATTGTCAAAGAAAAGCTATTCACAATCAAAACATTTTAGTCCATTTAAAGATGATCTGTGATGTATTTCTTATCTCCAGAAGTCTTAGTGAAATAAGTCTTCAGAAGGTGGTGCATAAGAAAATCCAATGAATGCATCATCTGCTTCAAGCACACTGGCATTTACAATATTATAGTCAGAAGAAATGCAAACTGAATAGGGTACATTCTCTTCTGTAAATGCTGCATCAAAGTTCCTGATGTCATCTGGACCAGACTAGGAGAGAAAACAGACACAAGTCACTGCAAAGAGCTAAATTTCTCATACTTCCATTGAAACTGGGAAAGTTTATTCATTTCTCAGCAAAATATTTTAGTGTGCTTTGTGGGAGTGTGTACTGACCACACAGTTCAATCTGTACTTTTAATTCAGGAATTTGATAACAGTTTAAATTGGCTTTCTCTGATTCAGAGGCTATCTGGTTCAAAGCTGAATTTCAGTCAGAAGTCCAGATCTTTATGCCTCCCACTGACTAGCATTAGAAATCAACAATAGATAATATATTTGCTTTTAGAAGGTTAGGTGCAAGAGTTAGGGAATTATTAAGAATAACAAAGATGACAGTATTTTGTTTTCTGCTCAATTGGCATCAAAACTATAGAGAATGTGACAGCACACAAGTGGTTCTGGAGTACGTATAATAAAACAAGGTAGATAAACCTGAACATTCAAAAAGCTAGATCATCATGGCTCCCAAAGATTCTACTTAAATAAAAATCCATTAGCATTTTTGCCCTTCTGCAAATAAAACCAGTCAAGATCATGGAACATTGAATCATGCAATGTATTTACTCCAAAATCTCTCCTTCAAAATGCTGTGATTGGAGAGCCTTGATAAAAATCTAAAGTATAATTAGATGACAGAATTGTCAGTCACAAATCAACCACCTCCTTACATTTTCCTTACATGGATTACCAGAAATGTATCAGAGTTTTTATAAGACTTATTATCTGGGAGTCTCTGAATCTGGATCATTGACAAAACTTTGGGAATGTTCAAATTTGACATTAGTCTGTTCCAGAGAAATTTACATCAATTTGGCTATCTTCCTAATATCTATAAATCAGCCCTATTTGGTTTGGGATTCAGAATCTGAAGAACACCACCTAGAATGATGAGGGCTACAACTTGGCTTACAGCTCCATATAAATATTTTTGCCTTCTAAATTATTTTGGGGGAAAAATCATTTGAAATGTGGTGCTGGAGGAGAGCTTTGTGGATACCCTTCAGTGATAGAAAGACCAACATGTAGGTACTAGATCAAATCAAACCTGAACCATCTCTGAAGGCAAAAATATTGAAACTAAACTACTTTGGGCACATCATGAGAAGACAGGGTAGAAAAAGGAAATAATGCCAGGGTACGTTTGAAGGCAGCTGGAAAAGAGGAGGGCCAAATATGAGATGGACTGACTCCTTAAAAGAATCCACAAACTTCAGTTCACAAGAGCTGAGCAGGGCTTTTGAGGACAGAACATTTTAAAGATAACTCATTACAGGGTTGCCATAAGTTAGAGGCAATTTAACAGCACATAACGACGACAACAACAAATACTTCTCGATAGTTTTTGTCCTTGAAATATTTTGATATAATAATCCCCATTTTTAGGTAAAAATTATTTATTTATTGTATGGCAAAGCTTCAGACAAGAACAAAAAAAGTAATAGTTTTTCTCCATGTTTTCCCTTCCACCAACACCTTTTAAGTGCAGTTATTACCACTGTCTTCAGCAGCTTAACTATAACCCCTGCTTAGATAAAATGTTACATTTCTGTCTACTAAGACAGTATAAGGCATCATACCTACCACATTAGGATTAAAAGGTGGTGGGATCTTTTTTTGTACAAGGTCAGTCCAGTTGACAGATTCAAAGAAAGGATGCCTTTGAATTTCAAGCTGAAATACAAAATAAATTATTAATTTAATAAATGCTACCCTCACCTGTCTTAACACAAAGCTGCCCTCCATTGTCCATAAAAGAAATATCTGCAATACAGTACAGTATAGCAATGTATTTGAATTTACAGAAATTTCCCCAGGCCTTGCCCTATTTTGGACTACAACTCTCATTGTCCCAAGACAGCATGGCCAATAGTCACAGAGTCCCAAAGGTGTAGGGCAAAACATCTGGAGGCACCACATTTTAAAAACTCAAATCTATTTTCTAAATTCATGATGTTCCATCAAATTTAGGTTTGTTTTTTAACATTTGAGCAAAAATGATTAATCATAGACTTTACAGGAAAGTTCTGGAAAAATTGAGGGGTTAGCCCTACCATTAGGTAGAGTGAGGCAGTAGATTTAGGTATCTAAGAAGGCTATGATTTGTTTATGTTACTATTGTATTTGTACTTCTAGGAAGAAATAGAGGTATCATTTGCCATTCTGCCTCAGGTACCAAACATTTTGGGCTGTCCTGAAAAGTTAGTTAATTCTGTTTCTTATCAATATTATAATGAAATCCATATTTCAGAAGGTGCCAATTCTTCTTGTAAGCTATTCACAGTCTTTGCATAAATATACTGCAATATTATCAAGTGAACTGCTCAAGACAGAATACAATCAATGTATGTTCTCTGTATTTATATTGTCAGTATACCACCCACAATTCCCAGGTTAAGTAAAGGCAAAGAACAAAAGCTGGAGAGAAAAAGGTGAAATTGAAGTTACAATTATTGAATAATCAGCTTAGAGTGCAATTAGAGGAACATTTAGACCCCACAGTGGACTGTTTGGTCTACTGCTGGGACTGGCTGCTTTTTTCTTTTTCCCTACAATCACATGTCACAATCGCTAGAGAAAACCAGCCCATCCCCAGAGCATCCCTACCTGCACTTTTTGGACCCATGTCAGTAGCTTCTACTTTTTTTGGTTCAGGTAAGATCACTCTGTTTTGGCTTGTTTCCAGAGTTTGTGATTGCAGGAAACAAACCAAAGCAATCTTGGCACTGTCAAGGCTCCTTATATTGAGAATCACTCATATTGTGAAGTAGCTTAAATAGACAACTACTTCATGACATTGACAAATTAAACACTTCCTTTGCTCTGCTAACCTGAAAAGTTGCAACACTTGTTACATCAACCAATTTTAGGGAACACCCTATATTTCAAATGTATTTTATCTAAAAGAAATTGCAGTAGCTGATTTTAAATCACTAAGCTATAGTAGCCAAATTCAAATTCCTAAATGTTTCATATGATGTGTTTTTCACACTTAAAAGAACTGCCATGGCAACTGTAAATTTAAATGATGAAGATACATTTCGAATTCTTGTTTAATGTTGTTATGGCCTTAAGCTCTACATATTTTTCAATATATTTACTAGTTCACGTCAGATACATTACATACAAAGTCTTCTTTAGCTCCAAGTCTGTTTTGTCTGTTTTTCTCCAAAAGTTCTTCTAAAATGGACCATGCAGTAAGACTGATGCCTGGCCTTAAGTGTAGGGGTTTGTGAAGAATATTTTCATACATCTCTGCAACATCACGACAGTAAAAAGGAGGCTGAAGAGGGAAAAGGTACAGTATTAAAACAAAGATTTTAAAAAACCAGGCTAGGATCCAAAAAGCATATACATATGATAGAACTGCTTTCACCAGAACTGGGAAAGAGGAAAGCTTCCATTCTACTGCAACTTCTTATGCACCACAAAGAACTGCTCCTAACGGCTGGGGAACCCTCCATTTTTACATGGTATCGAGGGCTGCATGGGCAAGAAAAGTCTGTAATCGTGTTCTTACGTCAGTTTACTAACTCTTGGTTTGTTGTTTCATTGGTCCAATATCTATTTTCAAAATTGTGTATGGCATGATTACTTTTTTAACAAGCAGCTTTTGGACTCTTTTGTCAGCTAGAAAAACAGCATTTTATGTAAGAGAGATAAAGAAGGGCGGAGAAAAATATTTTCTCAAGTACTGAAAAACACACTTTAAAAAATATATATGGCAAGAGTCTAGAATAGATTCCTTTTACCTTAGTACCAAGAAAAAACAAAAGGGCAATTGCCATAAAGCTATAAGACCTGTGAAAATGAGAACATGTTGCTAATGTTCTGGACACTGATACCATCAGCCTTTTCTAACTGATTCCTTTCTACTTAGCAATGAATAGGATCATTGCCACTTCAGTTGTCTGTTCCATTTGTGTTGGGTGACATAATCTCTTTCTACTAGTGAGCCAGGAAATTAACACTACGCAGCAGAAAAGAAAATCACAAGACCTGCTGAAAGTGAAGTAGCCCATTCACAAATACACATCCTGGAAATTCTGTTAGTTCTAAATGCCATCTTTAAGGCTAATGCAAATGGAAGAGAGCAAGGATTCCTGTACTCTAGCACACAGTCTTTGACTGTGAAAGCAGGTGAGGGCAACACCTTTCATGTGGTTTTGTTTCTTAACAACACAATAGCTCCTAAGTGTTCCCTCCCACAGAGTGGAGCTAAGCTAGTCTCCTATTTGTCTAGGCAAAATGCATGCATTGTGTTTAGATGGTGATGAAATAAATGGGATGATGACTAGAATGGATAAAAGCAGTTGCAACCAAATATGGGCTAGAACTCACTAGAAGGCCTACTTCATGGCACTGGCAGCAAATAAGTCCTTCTCTGCCACCATGGTGTCTGCACAGAATCATCCAGCCGAATTTTCTAAGAGGTCAGGGCCTCTTATGCCTTGTCCCACAAGAAATGGTCTAGATTTACTAAGGGCCCATTGTGAAAAACTGGCACAACGTGGCAGACATTTTTGGGCAAGGTACATGGTGGCTTCTTAGCTTCAAGTGATCCTGTATGAGAGGGGCTATGCAGAGCCATTTCAATTTGTCTTCAGGCCTGATTATGGAACAGAGACAGCTTTGTCAACTATGCAGGGAATTGGAGAAGGTGTTTGTGATGGAATCGTCAACTATGCAGGGAATTGGAGAAGGTGTAAGTGACGGATGTCCCACCTGTCACTCATAGCTGGAGCTCATTTGCATAAGCCTATGAGAGGACAGGAGGGGCGGAGGCAGAGAGCCAGTTAAGTGCGTTAGAGACAGTGAGGGAGAATAAAAGGAGAGAGGTTTGTCAGTGAATAGAGAGGGATAGTCAGTGAAAGAATGAGAACTGTAACCAATAAAGATAAACTGGTTAAAGTGAATAAATAAAACAGGAGGTGACTGAATGTGTGGTAGAATATGTTATTTCAATGATTTTGATTCTATGAAATGAATAAAGAACATCTGTGATTCAAATTTCCCTAATACCCTTTAATGAACAAGTTCTATTGTTGGCAGCCAGTGTCAGACTAAAGTCCTTTACAGCGTGGATAAAGAAATCCACTGGTGGCAGCGAAAGAAAGAGGGAATGCCACCAGCATGTTGGCAGCCAGTGTCAGACTAAAGTCCTTTACAGCGTGGATAAAGAAATCCACTGGTGGCAGCGAAAGAAAGAAGGAACACCACCAGCATGAGCCCTTTGGGTTGAGAAAAAGAAACCTGGGCACAGGGTGAATGTAACAGTGGTTCTGTGTGACTTGGCTGTGGGAAAAAGAAACCGGGGCACAGGGTGAACGTAACAGTGGTTCTGTGTGACTTCTTGGCTGTTTTCAGTAACACCTACCATACAGTATGTCCATTTGGACTGTCTATTTGTGATAGGACTCAGAGATATTGTTTTACAGTGGCTCAGGTCCTTTCTGGAGGGTGAACTTAGAAGGTAGTGCTTGGGGTCAGTGGCTTGTGCAGTCCCTCAGAGTTCTATTTTATCCCTCTGAGGGAGGCAATGCTGGGTGAGATTATCTTCGGTGCCACGAGTATGCTGATGACAGGTAACTCTATCTCTCTTTTTTATCTAAATCCAAGAAAGCTGTCTTGATTCAAAACAAGTGTCTGGAGCCTGAACTTGGATGCCCAGGTCTTTGCAGTGGCCAGGAGTGTCCTTGAGCAATTAAAACTAGTGCACCCACTACATCCATTTCTTGCGAGATCTGATATGGCCACTGTGATAGACACCCTAGTTACTTCCCAGATGGATTACTGTAATGTGCTCTACGTGGGGCTGCTGAAGGAAAGTGTCAGGAAACTTGAACAGGTCCAAATGTGCAGCCAGATGGCTGACTGGAACTAGTTACAAGGATCACATAACACCCTTGTTACAGCAGCTCCATTGGCTGCTGATCAGTTACTGGGCACAACTTAAAGTGCTGGTTTTAACTTATAAAGCCCTAAATGGTCTGGGTCCAAGCTGTTTCAAAGACTGACTTTTCCTTTATAAGCCAGCTCAGATGTTAAGATAATCAGGAGAGGCCTTTCTCTCAGTTCTGCCACCCTTATAGGTGCATTTGGTGGGAATACAGGAGAGAGTCTTCTCTGTTGCTGCTCCCAGGCTTTGGAACTCCCCTCCCATAGCAGGCCTGATTGGCCTCATCTTTGCTGTCCTTCTGCAGGCAAGCAAAGACCTTTCTCTTCAGGCAGGGTTGCCCCTCAGTAAAACAGCTACCTGAGTGTGATTTTTAGATACATTGTTACGTATTACTGCTTTGACTAGAGTGACATTTTTTTAAATAATTGTATACTCATTTATCTTTGCTTTAATATTGCCTGTTAATGTTGTAAGATGCCTCCTTATTAATTGTTCCTAGTTTTAAATATGATATTTTAATGATGTTAACCACTGTTGTATATTCATTGTTTTCAACTTCAAATATTATCTTCCATTGTTGTAAGCCACCTTGGGTCCTTTTCAAGGAGAAAGGTGGGTTAAAAATATTTTAAACAAAGAAGCAAGCAAACAAACAAACAAATAAGGTGGGTGGCTTGGCACAAAACTAAGAATCCAAGCAGGAACTAGCTTATTACAACCATTTGCTTCTGTGAGCTATGCCAGTTCTCTTTTGTTGGCATAACTACATAACAGGATTTTGGTCACTGTGTTTTTTCAGCTTTATAGCTTTTAAACCTATATTACAGTATAAGCTACCTTAGGTCCTGCAGGGAAGAAAGGCAGGATATAGGCAGGCACACAAACACCCCAGCATTCAGAGACATTGTTTATTTATGCGTAAAATAGTAAATACATACCAGACCATATAGCATTTCATAGAGAACAGCTCCAAGGCACCACCAATCTACTGTGTTATCGTATGGTTGTTTTCTGATCACTTCTGGGGCCAGGTACTATAGAAGGAAACATCACCACCCATTTAGAGATACATAACTTTAAAACAATAATACAGGACAAGCACAAGTATAATGAGATATTCTACAGTGTCACCTTTAACTACCAACATCTGTTCTTGTAATAAAAAAACAGTCTGGCTTAACATAAATAGTTGAAGTTGAAGAGAAATAACTTCATGGTTTAAAAGCTACTTCTCCAAAAATCTGCATGGGGCACCCAACAAGTTATTAATGGATACAATAAAATTTTAAATCACTTAAAAGTATTAAAAATAAGCATCATTGTCTTAGTTCAGCTTTTCTGTTCTACTTGAAGGAAAAAGATGATACAACCTCCTTATACAGCTTAGCCCACTGTTAGCCCACTGTCAGATTGAGCAGTGTTTTCCTGGTGTTTGAATTTTCTTGCAATATGTATGCATTTCAGGTGCAAAGACCACATATACTAGCATTCTTTCTTACAGATTTTATTTGACCTGATCCTCCTGACTGAAACACCCTAATTATAAGAAGACATAATTTATGAAATACTGTTGCCTTCTATCAAACATTATGTTCCTGCTGTTTAGGGTAAATGTTCTGCTCATCCAAAAAACAAATGCATTGAAAAGGAGTTTGGCATTTGCACTGATGTGCAAATATTTTAGGAATATTTTTTATCAACCTCTCCCCCTTAAAAATAACCCTGCCCTTCAGAAAAAAAGAGTAGTTTCTAGAAAATGACTACAAAAATACCATTCAAGGAAATTAACTGACCTCTGGTGTCCCACAAAATGTTGCTGTGGTGTCTGAAATAGCAATTCCTTCTTTACAAAGCCCAAAATCTGTTAAGACAACATGTCCCTGCATTGAAACAAATATTCAATTGTAAAATAGTGCCAAGTTCTAGTGATCTAATTACTTAAGAGTATACTGAGGTAACAGGAATGACTACCTACCACTGAATCTAGAAGAATGTTTTCTGGTTTCAAATCTCTGGTCACACACACAAAGAAGAAAAGGCAACACAAAAGTTCAGAATAAGATATTTGAGTGAAATATCTAGCAATAAAAAGGAATCTTTTGAAGACAATGTAGGCTTATGTGTAAATTAAGAAAGTACTGTATGCTTTATAAATATGAGAATTAAAGAAAAGTGACTAATACATGTTTGAATTCAGCACAGCAGTTATTTACTTTTCCTTTTAACAAATAAATGTAGTCTAAACATTTACCTGTACACAATTTTTATGGAGTGGAGGTAGCCCAAAGCACTGGCTATTTCAGCAGCATAAAACCTGGCTCTGTGCTCAGGAAAGGAACGTTCTTTTTGCAAATGAAAGAAGAGCTGTAAATATGCAGAACAAAAATTAAAAGAATATGGTATTTTAAAAAGTATGCTGTCATTCTTAGCGATGGATTAACACAATCTGCCATTTCCCTATGAACAACTATCATAACAGTGAAAACACATTCTGTGCATAATTATTCACATCCTTCCTTTAAGCCATTTCCTTATTTTGTCACATCTGTGGCCCCAATATGTTTGGGCTACAGATGGTAAATGAACTAAGCCCATTCTGTAGGTGTGTTGGGCTAATGTGATGGCATATGATGACTGCTCCACATAATTGTAAATTCTCATCATTCAGTAGAGAGAATAATAGAACAGCACAAACAGCAAGATAGTTGTTTTGAATTAAGTTGTCACAACAATTAGTTATTGCAGCTTATTTCCAAAGTGAACTAAAACAAGGTGTTCTGTGAATTTCAAAAGATCACATTCTCCCGTAAGTCCCAAAGATATACCTACCTCCCCTCCATTAACAAAATCCAGTACAAAGTAAAGCTTCTCTGTGGTTTGGAATGAATAATGCAATCCAACTAAAAATGGATGTTTCACATTTTTCAACAGCACATTGCGTTCAGCCATAATATGTTTTTGCTGCAAGGAAGTGAAAGGTCAATAAGTAAATAGGAACAATTTTGTAATTGGAGGGGAAAATAAAATATCTATTTCCTTTCACCTCTTTCCTGTTGAGAACAATTTTTTTCTGAAGCACTTTAACCGCATAGAACTTCCCATCCAGTTTTCGTTTTGCAAGAAGAACCTGAAGAACAATTTGTATCCAGTTAAAATCTGTTCTTATATCAAAGGAAGGAAAATAATATTTCACCATTAAACGTCAGGTCCTTGGGTGCTACAGCTATACATAGGAAGCTCTCTTAGAACAGCAGTCTTCAACTTGAAGCCTGCCAGATGCTGCTGGAAAGTGCCATCATACTTAATGAAGCTGGCTAGAGTAGATGGGAGTTATGGTCAACAACTGGAGTACCATATGCTGCCCATTCTTCGGCCCACTCACATTCCCTCAGATTAGTTCTTTGTCTAGCCCAGTTTTATCAGCTGCTACTACGTCTGAGACTTGCCAAGATCTCAGATAAGATTCTTTCATATCTCTTGCTATCCAATCTTTTTCTTATCTATGTCATGGGCATAGGCTCCTGCACAGTACTAGGCCTGTGTTCTACCAATGCGCCATGGGCCTTCTCCCATGTCACCATGAAAAGACAACATCCCCAAATGATGGACACAAAACGAGCTCAGACAGAACAGTATAAGAATATATAAAATAATATAATATAGAGCTCACCTTGCCAAAGCTGCCTTTCCCAATAACTTTTAGGAAATCGAAGTCTGTTGGTTTGGCACTAGAAGGGATTCAGGACAAAGGGGGTCACTTAAGGTAGTTAAGACAGTAAAAACAGTAGCAGTGTGTCTGCCATCAAGCTATTTAGTAGCTTGATGGCAGACACATACCGTATTATTATTCTTTCCCACAATCGTGACTATCGCTTCTATATTATTTGTGCTCTCCTCTAATGTGAGGACTGGTCTAGAACATGTTGCTGTCCAATATGAGACAGAAAGAAGTGCTCATGAGATTTTCTGCCTTTTAAGCCAAAACAGGCCTAAGGTATTAAAATACCAAGCATTTCAACACTGTTCAGTTTGTTCCACTGCCTAGGACAGCAACATGGTGTGTGTGTGTGTGTGTGTGTGTGTGTGTGTGTCCATCCATCTCATGTATATATGTATATATGTGTATATGTGTGTGTGTGTTATGTATATATGTATATATGTGTATATATCTGGGTGTATACACACAAACACACACATATATCTATACATATATCTATACATATCTATCTATCTATCTATCTATCTATCTATCTATCTATCTATCTATCTATCTATCTATCTATCTATCTATCTATCTATCTATCTATCTATCTATCTATCAAATTAAATAATTAACAATTTGCCACCTTTTCTTATCACCTAAAATCTATTATCTAAAACAGACTGCCCCCCTCTACCTCATGGTGGGACTAGCTCTGTCCACGATTAAAATTTAACAAATTATGTTTTGCTTCCTTTCAGCTCAAATGAATACAAATGTTCCTGTAACACATTCTATTTTATATATGGCTTCTGTATTCCATACAGATTTTGTTCATTTCTTCTTTCCCTAACTTCTTCTTTCAGCCTTTACATAATATGCAGATAACGGTTTTACTTGGTACCAAAATGCAGCAGTTCCTTTTTCTTTAAACTGTTTGAAATGGCAAACAAATGTATGAAACCTCAATTTATCTGATGGATGATAAAGTGAAAAAACTGGGTATAAATAAGTAAAACCTACTGAGGATTTGCAGATGGGCCCAGGTTGATATTCTGTGAGGTAGAGATTAGCTGCTGAAAGCAAGAGGAAGAAGAGAAAGACAAATTCAAGTCACATCCAAGTTTTCAGTATTTGAACCCATTAGAAATACTTGTGCCTAATGTCTCCCACTCTGATAATATAAAAACATGTTTGGTTAAAAATAAATGGGGGGGGGGGGAAACCAAGACAACACACTTGCAACCTGGCCTTTGAAATGAGTAAAGGTTAATTGCTATGACTTCAGTCACTGCAGGATGTTCCTGACACCGGTCGTTAACACTCAAAGTGCAAATTGCTCTTTTTTCAAGATTGTTTCTCAGACAGTTTTCTTATTTTTGGGAGCAAAGTCTATGTCCTCCACATAGCCAAGTGTGCTGACAGTGGAAAATTCATCTTGTTTTGACCTGAAGTTACAAGACTGACAAAAGAAATGCAGAGAATTAAAATGATAGAGGACTTGGAAGTGCCTACATCAAATGTTATCCCTGTATTCAGCTATAATGTCATTTATAACATTTCCCTCCCTTAACAGAGATCATATATTGTTTCAGGAAATATACTTAGCATTTAGTTGATCAGACTCACATGGACAGCCAACTAGACAAGGAATTATCAAGCTATTTCCACTAAGTGTAGTCAATACTGTTTTTTGTGTTTTGGGTTGCTCCATAGTAGTGCAGGAAGCTTAAACAGCTCCAAACCATTCCCAAGAAATGTCCGTGCTATTGCCAATGTCCAGCATAAGGTAAGCCCACCGAGGTTCATGAAGCAGGATACCTACATAAAAGGAACTAACAGGCTGAAGGTGCTCTCTAACCCAGAAGTTATCCAACTGGCAGTGATTTTCAGTAAATAACAATTTCCTCCTCCTGTCTCACAGCTTTGTTGCTTCCTCACCATGAAAGTGATTATGCAGGAGCCTTAGAAGCTTCAGGAGAAAGGTCAAAAATGTTTGTGTTCTGGAAAATCATCACTGCTGATGACATCATCAGCTTTATGCAAGATACACTACAGAAATAGGATTACAGCCAGTAAGAGTGGCTGTATATGTTATAGAAAATATCTCAACAATAGACTTACAAGGACAAAAAAAGGAGAATTATTTGAAATGCCAACTTAGAAGCCCAAGACTATTAGAAGTCGGGAAGACTATTAAAGAATGTGAAAGCACTTCACCTTGTATTGTAGCATGAAACACACAATTATACTGTGGGCTCGAAATCAGACGATGGCCCTGCTTCTAGGAGATGATGACAATGCCAGTTACCTTTTGACTGTTTCTTTCATCCTCATCTTCAGATGGATCATACTGGTGCTTTGGATTATCCATCTGAAGAAATGATCGGACATCTGGGCTAAGAAAGATAGTAAAACCGATCCATTATTAATACAGTGGTGCCTCGAATAGCGAGCGCTTCGAATAGCGATAAAATCGAATAGTGATTAGTTTTTCAGGGCATTTTTGCGATTCTATTAGCGATGGTCCCTATGGGCGATTTTTGATTAGCGATAGTTTAAACAGCCACGTGTTTGCTACAGTACAGTACAGTATTTTAAAAATGTTCTTGCACTCACCGGCCCTCGGGGGCTGAGGGCTGGCGGCCTCGGAGCCGTTGCTGTGGGCCGAGAGCTTGCGGAGAGCAGGCGGGGCCCCAGTGCTGGTGGTGCTGGGGGGGGGCTGTCGCCAGGCGGCGGCGGGGGAAGGGAAAGGGCCCTGGTGCGGCCGTGCACCTGCCTCCCCTTCTCCCACTCCTCCTCTTCTTCCTCCGAGGAGGAGGCGGTGACGGCGGCAGGGGAAGGGAAAGGGCCCTGGTGCGGCCGTGCACCTGCCTCCCCTTCTCCCACTCCTCCTCTTCTTCCTCCGAGGAGGAGGCGGTGACGGCGGCAGGGGAAGGGACGGCGCTTCGCCCTGCTCACTCCTCCCGGGGCAGCGGCGGCCCCCCATCCACTGGCGGCCCGGCCCAGCCTCCTCCGGCTCTTTCTGGCGGCGCTGGGGGTCGAGGGAGGAGAAGAACAAAGGGACCCACCGGGCGCCCCACCGGCAGGCAGGGACGGGCGGGCGGGGGCCCGCGACACTCCTTCTGGGCTGGCTGGCTTCCTCCTCCTTCCTTGCTCCCTCGCTGGCTGGCTTTGTTCTGACTCTAATTTATTGTTGATTTTTCCCCCATCGAGATGCATTGAATAGGTTTCAATGCATTTCAATGGGGAAACCGCATTTTGATTAGGGATGTTTCTCATGGAGATTTTTGAATAGCGACAGCAATTCGTTTCTATTGGAATGGATTAACCGGCTTTCAATGCATTTCAATGGGAAACCGCATTTTGAATAGCAATGAAATCAAATAGCGATGGTTTTTGCGGAATGCATTAACATCGCTATTCGAGGCACCACTGTAGTAGATAATTACATCTTTTCTATGGGAGTAAAATAAATTTATTTATTTCACTGTAAAAACTTGCAGACATGGGCTGTTTCATAGATCTTTTATTTGTAAAACACAGGCAACCAGAATGAAACATAGATGCAGAAAGAAAACAGAGATCATTACCACAATTTGTAAGAGGGAAACTGACCAAAAAAGGAAATTATTTAATTACATTATCTTGACGTAGTTTAATTAGAACCAGGTTCCCAAAAATAAACACTAATTGGGTAACTTGGGAGCAAGACCAGTAGGAAACACTTTCATCATTTTCAGTTTCAGATGTTATTAATGTTATAAAACTAAAATTGCATAGTCTAAACACACACCTGAGTAAAAACTGCAGGAAGCTTAGCAGTAAAAACAGTTCCACACAGTTATTCTGTCTAAAGCCTTCCAAAAAGCCACATTTTTCTAAGCCACAGAAAGTGAAGTTGCTAAACATGTCTCTGTTGGCTGGGCAAACACACTGCCACAACCACATAATTTCCAAATTCCTTTTAGATGAGACAGGAAGCAGTGCCTTCTCACATCAGCCTGAAGACAAAGAAGGCACATACTATGCCAGCAATTCTGTCCGGACCTGAAAACTAAAGACAGCCCAGAAAATTGGGACAAAATTGTAAGAGCATGCTTCTTCTAGCCACCTTTCTGAAGAAAGCTGGGGCATTCTGCATTAGCTGGAGCTCCCACTTGATACTAAACTCTTCATAAAACTAGGTGATAAAGATTTAGAAAAACACTGTTTTTTTAAAAAGTCCTGATAAAAACATTTTGGAGCTTCTTAATTCAGTTCTTTTAACGCGTTTCTCCAACTATTCAGATTGACAAAAGCCCACCTCACAGCCATAAATACTCCACTCCCAAAGCCAACTACATCAGAGCACAGAGTGCTGTCCTCTGAAGATGCCGGCCACAGAGACTGGTGCAACGTTAGGAAGAACAACCTTCAGAACATGACGAAAGAGCCCAAAAAACCCACAACAACCATTATTCAGACTGTACATGTACAAATATACAGTGACTAAATGAGCTAGACTTCTATATGGTTTTCCATTTTAGATTCTTTTTTTTTTTGCTGTCCTAAACTAATTTTCAGAGACTTGAAATGACGTTAAAATAAATATAATATTTAACAGTTGTCTTTTATGTTTAGGATATTAGGTGCCTTGAAGACTCCATTGCAGAATGGAAAGGCTGGATGAAAAGCTCACACTAAACAAATTATGCTTAAAATTCTTTCGGCAACAACCATCTAATGCTTATCCTACAATATTTCAATGGAAACATACAGTGTGCATCAATGTAACTGTTTGCTACATGTAGCTCTGTCACCCAGGTGCCCCTCTTAAGAGGACCATGACAGTGATTAGCCTTCCTTTTTTATATTATGTACAGCATCTGGTGGTGACAGACATACTTCTAAAAACAATCTTATGCTGCCAGAATTTAGACTCTTTTCCCCCCCAACTACAGTTCACAAATCCCTCAGCCAAGCAGAGCAAATTTCACGCTGGCTGAGAGATTTGAGACTTGTGGCCCAAAAAGTAATTTGTCCAAACACTGCACTTGACCACTTAAAACCAGTGTATAATATGTGACTGCTGTTATACAATCTATCTCTTCTCAACCCTGCATAGAAAGATATGTTTACTTACTGATTGCAGAGTTCTGGATGTCGTACTAAATTCTGAATGAATTCATTTAGGCCTGCTCTTCTCTGCTTAATGAAATCTGTTTGAAATGAAAATAAGCACCAAATGTTAGATTTTGTGTTTTAATATTTAAGTTTACATATTTGAGATTATTTAAGCATTGTTCAGTTCCATGCTGAAAACAAGGAACGATGTTCGCTTCTATCTTCCCAATGTTTTTCTGTCTCACTCAAATAAATGCTGTAGAGGTCAACATAAAGGGTGAAATAGACTAGACCAGACACTGGTTTTCAAATCTATACGACAGAGGAACATTTTGGTTTTTGAAATAAGGATACAGAAGGACATTTGAATATGCACCAATCCCTTCAAACAAGGCATTTAGTTTCAGAAGTGCTTTAGGATTTTTAGGGTGTTTTTCTGTCTCACTCAAATAAATGCTGTAGAGGTCAACATAAAGGGTGAAATAGACTAGACCAGACACTGGTTTTCAAATCTATACGACAGAGGAACATTTTGGTTTTTGAAATAAGGATACAGAAGGACATTTGAATATGCACCAATCCCTTCAAACAAGGCATTTAGTTTCAGAAGTGCTTTAGGATTTTTAGGGGGCGAATTATTAGTTTCAGAAGTGCTTTAGGATTTTTAGAGGGCGAATTAATTAATTAATTAATTTATATCCCACCCATTTAGACCACGGTCTACTCTGGGTGGCCAACAGCAATATTAAAAAAACAACAATATTAAATATTAATACATTAGAGGATAACAAAGTAAGTTAGGTATCGACAGGAGGGAAGGCATGTCTGAAGAGCCAGGTCTTAAGTTGGCTCTTAAAAATGACCAGCGAGGGAGAAGAGGGAGAATGGGGAAATAGATAATATCCAAGAAACACATGTGGCAATGCATTTACAGAAGGACTGTATATACTTTTGAAGGGGCTATGTAGGAGACAGCTTTTCCAGAGTACATCTTAAAACACCATGAAACCCAGACCTCTTGAGTTTATATGCCCCTGCCTCAAAGTTTATCATTTACACACAGTCCTCACTGTCAAAGTACGCAGTATATCCAACTCACATTTTAATTAATGGCATGCAAAATTATCCTGCACAGAGAATCACTATTTGAACTCAGCTGGAAGTAAAGGTGAGGCAGTTATCTTGGGTGAGCACTACATGGTTGTTTAGGTGTCCACCACAAGTCAATACGTCTAGTAGGAGAAGAACTAGAAGAATTCCAGTTGCACATCAAGCCAAAATGTGGAAAACAGCTCCCAAATTCAGTACAGGAATGAATCCGGTTTCAGGTCTGATGTGAATGAACAGAGTAAGTGAAAACTGGTGTTTTGTATCACAGAAGAGATAAAATGGGTGAGGTTGTAGCTGTTGCTCGAAGCTGACTGTGTGAGCTGTCTGGAGATTTGTGTATTTTTGGCTCTTTATATGCTCTGATTTAAGCACATGGTGCTACAGATAGTAGGTACTGCTGAGGGGAAGTGAGACGGTGACTTGGTTGAGGTTGCAAACAGCTGCATTTGCAGCTCTTGTGAACTTATGAGCAGAGGTCTGTGAGCAGGATAAGCAGACAGGATTTTTGCATAAGTATTTGACAGGAAGGCCAGGAACACTGTGCCACTGCCTACCTAGGAAGAAGTGATATGGATGGTGATGGAGCATCTGCAGTGACCAGCAACTTCTGTGCGATTTTCATCTTCCTGCCTGAGAATGTAGAAATGTACAGCTAAAGTAAGTGCATCCTGTTTGCCCTGCTGGAAGAGAAGGTACAGTATCTTTAGGCCTACCTTTTATCACTTCATCTCATAAGGAAAGATGAAGGGTTTCTGGATGGAGCACAACAAACTCTACTGGAAGTAGTAGAAGGTAAAAGAACAAATGCCTCCCTTGCCTTGCCAACAATTCATCTTTTGGAAGGGAGAAGTCACAAGAGAAGCTATCCTGCATTTGATCCTGGTCAACAGGAAAGGACTCATCAATAAGGTGGAAACAGTGGAAACTCTGAATGGTCATGCTTTCTTTGGATTCATTATACAGAGGAAAGGAAAAGCTGAGCTTGATACAAGATGTACTCAGACTTGAAGAAAGGTGATTTCAATAAGCTTCAGGAAATAATGGGATGCTTCCTTCTCTCTCTCTTTTGAGAGAGCGAGCATGCTGTAAAGCATGGTAGATCAGAGGAATGCTGTGGAGGCTTTTACTTTTTTCAAGCTGGGATGATACAGACTTTCCCATGTGACTAGTTGTTTCCTTCTACAAAAGGATGGTGTGTGCGTCTGTGGGTGTTGTTGTGGTGATGTAGGCAATTGGGGAGTGATGTTTAGAGACAATAGGAACACTTCCCCTGCAATGTCATGCTGTAAAGCATGGTAGATCAGAGGAATGCTGTGGAGGCTTTTACTTTTTTCAAGCTGGGATGATACAGACTTTCCCATGTGACTAGTTGTTTCCTTCTACAAAAGGATGGTGTGTGCGTCTGTGGGTGTTGTTGTGGTGATGTAGGCAATTGGGGAGTGATGTTTAGAGACAATAGGAACACTTCCCCTGCAATGTGCCTGAGTGTTTCTAGTTTAAATTTATAAATAAATAAATAAATAAATAAATAAATAAATAAATAAATAAATAAATAAATAAATAAATAAATAAATAAATAAATACATCTAGTGCTGAGACATTGTACTGATATACTAGTACAATAGTTTGGTGATATATCACCTTTGTGCAGAAAAAATGCCACAAAATAGAAATAACCCCAAGAAAATATAGAAGACTACATATGTTTCTGTGGTATGTGTATTTCCGTGTATGTTATGAAGAACTTTGGAAAACTGCAATCTTTTCTCTAATGCTGTAAAATCCTTTAAAAATGAAGCGGCATGACAGAGAACCATAAAGGATCAGCAGAGGAGAGAACAGAGGAAAGATGGAAGGAAGATGGGGGGCTGTGGGCTGAAATGCAGATCACACAGTATCTGTGTGTGGACACTGGCTCCGAATCAATCTGCACCCCTTGTGTGATCATCACTAAATGCTAACTGAAACAGAAGCTAGGCTGAGAATCAAACTGCAGCCACTATAACTGCAGCCTTAATTTCAGCAATGTCTTCAATAAAGTTACTTATTCTTCAAAGATGTTGGTCTGTTTCATCAAGAAAAGCAAAACAAACACAAAATTATTGCAACATCTTTAAGACTAACGAATTTATTTGTGAGCTTTCAAGGATATAATCCACTGGGCCAAAATAAACAAAAGCAGTTTCAACAGGGAAAACTGTAATATTTTACATTTAGGCTGGAAAACTCTGATGCATAAATACATGAAGGGTGATAAGTGGCTTGGCAGTAGTACATGTGGAAAAAAAATTGGGGTGTTTGTAGGCCACAAGCTAAACATGTTTCTGTGGTCAGATGTAGCAGCAAAAAAAGAGTTAATTTAAAAAGTTAATAAAGTTGCATCAACTATAGTGTCCATATTTAAAAAAGTAATAATACCATTCTAATCTGCTGCTGATCAGACTTCACCGTGGAATACTGTGTCCAGTTGTGGGCACCACATTTTAGGGAGGATTTGGACAAGCTTCAGCATGTCGAGAGGAGGCTGAACAAAATGGTAAAAGGTCTGGAAATGTCACTCTGTAAGGAATTATTGAGGAAGCCTTATATACTTCCCAAATTAGAAGGGATATAATAATAACCTAAAATACCTATCACATGGAAGATGGTATAAGCTTGTTTTCTATGGCTCCAGAGGAAATGGTCTGAACAAATGAATTCAAAACACAAGAAAGGAGATTTTGATGAAACATCCAGAACAACTTCCAGGCATTAAAAAGTTTGACAATGTGATGGTCTATGCCAAAAGTTTATGGACTCTCCCGCATTAGAGGTATTTAAACAAAGGTTGGATGACCATCTATCATGGACACTTCACCACTTCACTTGATATGGCAGGAGGTCCAAAGGTCTTAACCAGCTTTACAATTCTACAAGTGAACCTGATGCTAGCTAGTCTGTGATAGCAAATTTTTACATGTTAAAAGTTGTCCACGGGCTTTTCTGATCTCCTGTAATTTGCAAATAAGCTTCCTTTATTCTGTAACTGGTCATCACTGCTCTAAATCACCGCTGATGGCTGGCATATGCTCGTTTCATTTTCAGTTCATGGTCCAATATTTAGCCAAATCCAGAAAAGATGAAACCCTGATACAGCATGTGTTGTCATCAAGTAGGAACCAACGTATAGTGCCCCTAATAGGCTTTCAAGGTAAGTGAGATATTAAGGAGTGGTGTTACCAGTTCCACATGTTACCAGTTCCACACCCCAGTGAGTTACCTAAGTCGCTATCTACTACACCACACTGAGTATCCAGCATATACAAAGATAATGAATGTGGAAATATGTGTATCCAGCATATACAGAGGTAATATATGTGGGGAAAAGCAGAATATTTAAACTTCTTGACATGGACCTAAACATTCATTTTAGAAAGGAAATCACCATTTTATTTGCATGCAAGTAAATAGCAAAACTGTTCTGGTTATTTGCAGAATAGCTAACATTGAGAAGAATTTGCTTCTCTTACATTTATCAATATCATATAGCCCACAATGGACCAGAACACGCTCCACTGATATGTACAGACAGAACTCATTGCACAAGCATTCCTACTAATTTTTTCAGAACTCTGATCCTTAATGCATTTCTGCTGGCAGAATTCCACTGATTAACAAAGTCTTTTCAACCTGTTTTGAAAGTCTTAGGCTTTAAATAGAAGGAAATGAAGTCAGCTGTGAAGCAAGAATTTCAAGGGATCTAATCACAGATTTGTGCAGTTGAAAGAGATCAAAAGGTCAGACCAGCCCTGTGCTCAGAAGAGGCCTATGCCACCTGCCAGCTTCTTGCAGATTAAACAATGTATTATGCTCCATAAAGAGAGGCCATGAAAAAATATGATACATCAGATCAGATGACTGAATTGGGATTCAAAGCTCAACTGCCCACTTTCATATAACTATTACAAAGAATCAGACAGAAGTTATATTCATTCAAGGTGCATATGCAGGTGTGGGAAACTTCTGCCTAAAGGTTGTAGCTACACTCTGTTCACTTGCATACACTCCTGGCAGGAAGTAGCAGCTGCCAGCAGGTGGGGTAACCCCTTATTCTGCCCTTTTGCTTAGACGTAGAGCATAAGATCAAAGAGTTATTTCAGCCAGTCCTAGTGGCGATTAGGTAACTAGTATCCTATCTGAATTCTAACAACATATTATGTAACTTATGCTAAGTCAATAAAAAGAGTTTTCAGGACGTTGCCTTGAGACTCCGCTGGCTCGGACATCTGTGGTCTACTCCTGTGTACTTTCTCTAAGGTAATTAGCCTTCCTTTATTCTGTGATCACCAACATGCTGGCAGCTTTTTTAACTTTGCAGCACCCTGGAATCCATACACAGAAATGATAAGACCACAATTCAGCCACAATAGGTGACTTCTGATATGACCTCCAATCTAGTTCTTTATACTAAAAGCAAAAAGCTAATCCAATTATTTGTCCCAACTAGAGAAGACCAATTGAATCAATCGGTCTTTGGTAAATCAATACTTAACACATGTTTCATTTGCTCAGTTGGTCTATGCTAGTTGGGACTAGTAAATCGATTTAGCAATAATTCCTGAAGCTCTAGCCTGTGCTGCCTAGCAAGCTGTTTTTAATTCTCAGGAAAGTTCAAAGTGGGGAAAAGTAAGATGAACAGGCTGTGTGAACACCGAAACTTTTAAAAAAGATTACAGCCATTATCTCCTTCATAATCCTGAGCTGTATACCATCCTTCAGGGAATGATTACAATTCACCACGTTTGTTACTCTACACACATATAATACTAGAAAAAAAGATAGCTCTGATAGACTGCCACTGCAAAAACAAAAATATTGTTGAAAAAAAGAGCAAAAATCTTTGATACTAATTGATTATTAGGAAAACATCTGTTTTGAGTATGTACACAGCCTCTCTTATTCAATAAATCTTTTTTAAACAGCTCCTTTTAGTTCTCCAACAACTGACAGGATTTGCAGTTTGTCTCTTGTTCTCGCATTACTATAGTATTCTTCTTCCTCCTTGTCTGTGTGCATGATTATGTCTACCAGCAGCTGAATGGTCTTGAATGGAAGGTGTATCTGTGTAACATTTTCCTTTTCAAAGGAACAAGTGTTTTAGGCTTTGCATACTATTTTTCAAGGAAGGAAAATCAGGCACTGTATACTAGCCATCTGCTCTTCTCAAGCGCTGCGGGCTAAACCGCAGAAGCCTGTGCTGCAGGGTCAGAAGACCAAGCAGTCGGAAGAATGAATCCACACGACGAGTGAGCTCCCGTCGCTTGTCCCAGCTCCCGCCAACCTAGCGGTTCGAAAGCATGCAAATGCAAGTAGATAAATAGGGACCACCTCGGTGGGAAGGTAACAGCGTTCCGTGTCTAAGTCGCACTGGCCATGTGACCATGGAAGATTGTCTTCGGACAAAACGCTGGCTCTATGGCTTGGAAACGGGGATGAGCACCGCCCCCTAGAGTCGAACACGACTGGACAAAAATTGTCAAGGGGAACCTTTACCTTTACCTTTTATACTAGCCATCTGCTCTTCTCAAGTATTACTTATCTGAATCCTGAAATGCAGAAGTCACACATTTTTCAATTGAGGTACTGTATATCAATTCCATTTTTATGGATATTACGAGCAGGTTTCCAATATTTTACTAGAGACTTGCACACAGAAAAAGAAGTGATAAAAAGGCAAATCTCTGCTTTGTTTAGTTGAGTGTGAATTCACTTAAAAACAAAGTAACTTTACCTGGATCAAAATTATCTCCAAATATTCTTTTAGCTGGAATCCTCAAATTCATAGTGGGAAATTGTTTCCTTAGCTGAAATATATAAAATACACAATTTTGCTCTGAGATACATTTAAATCTCCTGACCATGATATATTACCAATACAGGCATTTTCTAATCTGATTTTAGCCCAATTCCATTTACTTACTGTATTGTACAGTTTATCAAACTCAGCATATCGCCTGAAGACGAACCATTCATTAGTCCCAACTGAAACCAGAACTTTGTACACCTATAGTAATACAAAAAAAATGACAAATGCAAAAATCAATATGAACAAATAATGATAGCTTTGGGACTGTGCATAGGTGAATGCAATCTTGTTTTACTGTTTATTTAAATCCCAGGGAATTTATGAATAACAGCAATCTGAGACTGAGTACTCTGCACACTGAAATTCTTCCAGATGGACACACAGAAAACCTCAGTGCATAAAATGTGTAGAATTCTTGGGTTTACTTGTTTAGGTCTTAAAATCCAAAGGAAAGGGTTGTATTGGCTACGTGATGCAATTAATTAGAGTTTATTGCTCAAATGGCATACATAGAACTGCATGCTTCAGTTTTCCTATATGCCACTAAGTATCTTGTATCCTAAAATTGCTTGTGCAATGTCACTTGAGGAATATAACACACCTGACCCTCCTCCTGACTATGCCCCTGAAAAGCCAAAGATAGTAAGGGACTATCAGAAATGAGATGACATATGGTGTGAGGCTGCAGAAAAAAAGGTGTGTGTGTCAGAGAATACTGTATTACCCTCTCCTTCATCTGAATAGCATTATTTTCCAGTTACGTTGGACAGCTTTGGATCCAAGCTACTACAAACAAGATTCTGAAGTTTCACATTCAGAGAAATAAATGGTCCCAGAAGTGGCATTTAAAATTTTAAAAATGTTAATGAAAGCAAAATATAACAAATATAAACTACAGTGGCAAAGGCATCAGATTTACATGGAAAAAGCTAAAAGGGCCTGGTTTAGGATCATATGTTCTAGGAAATGAAACAGATAACAACATCTATTTATATGAGGCAGAAATTCTTCCCATTATCTATTAAGTATTTTGAAGACCAAACTATACATTAAATTACCACATTTTGAAGTGAAGTGGCACATATTACCACCTAAGAGCCCCATCTCCAATCATCCTGTGATTAAGTCCAGGGTTTAAAATTAGCTAATTCCACTGCTGGCACAAAACTGTTCTATAAAGAGCATGAGGCACATAATAAATTATTAAAATCCTTTAAAAACCAGTTGCTGTATCATACAGTCTCTTTGTTAGTAACCCAACATAAGGAAAGCAATGTTTAAAAAAATCTGATTTTATATCTATTGATTTGCACTTCGTGGCTTCATAATGGATTGCAAGAGGAAACAGAACATTATTTAAATGAGACAAAAATATTTGGTCATATTAGTGTTTTTATTTAAATGTCTTGATTAAAAAACAAATGTGACTTTTTTAGCACATGTATGTGTCTTTTCTTTTTTTTTAAAGCAGAAATTAATACATGCAATGGATCAAATATCCTTTGTCATTTGACAACCCAACATCTTAAGGTATTTCCTAAATTGGAGTTCTTTGCTGGTAGCAGGATCGTGGAAGTGGTGCTCATTAACTTTACATGATTATTATATTTTGTATTTTTGTTGTAAGGGAAAATTTCAAATACAAAATATAATAATTATGGAAATGTTACCACGTATCCTTACTAGTGCTCTTTATTTCATTTTTTTTCCTCTTTGTCTAAATCTTTTACCATGAAAATGCTTACTCATTGCTTAGCAAGTATGCAAAGGTTGATTCCACACCTTGCTTTCCGAGTGCAGAAAGTGGGGCACTGTAATTTGACTGTGACTTCTGTGAGTTGTGTTTAACTTCCACTGGATTCAGACTCCTTCTACTGGAGCACCCAAAACATTATTAAAAAATCATTTAAAACTCAAGGAGGACAATTAAAGTCCTCCTCTATCTAAATTGCCTCCAGAAATCAATGCCCTCTCCTCAGAAGTAGAGGCAGGATTCCAAACACACTGAATTCTGTGGTAGCTCCCAGAACTTGTATCTCCTTAGCAGCTGACTTGCAGTCTCAAGCACATATGCAAACCCTTCTCTCCTCAAATGAATATACAATTAAAAAAAATCCTCCTGTAAAAAGTTATATTTTATTAAAAGGAAATATAAATATATGGACAAGTTCCATGATGTTGTAAGAAACTGTACTGTGAAAACAAAGAGAAATACTTCCCTGGGTATCATCTGCAACCTGCAGACAGAATCTGCTTATATCAGGAAATCTTCAAAACACCAAGTTAAAAAGATTGTTTAATTGCATCTAACTGGGAATCCGAAACTGTCTATAGTCTCCACTTTTACATCCTTCAGGGTCTTGCCTGATGAACAGCATCAATAATTGATTTCAACCAGGTTTTCTCCAAAGAAAATAGCACACCAAGAGATAAAACTGTACACTGAATACAGCAGCACCAATCAGAGTCTGAATCCAGAGTGCAATCAGCATATACACCTTCCCATCTTGTCTCTGGATAGAGATGCTCCTTCTACCTCCTTTTCCCACTTTCAATGTAAACACCGGAGAAAGGAAATTTTGGAATTCTGCCAACTCATTTCCTCATCCTGGAATTTTGGCAGCTTCTCTGTCCAGTTTCCTTCTATAGGGCTCAGATCTATAATCTTAATCCCTTACAGGCACTAGATAAAGATTTTGCCTGCTGTCTAATTACATTGTCTAATAAGGAAAGTATTGCCTCCCCCCCCCTCATTATTTCAGTACAACATCTAAATTTCCATCCCTTGATTTATATCATGCAACATCTGTTGCATGCTGTGAGGGGACAGAAGCCTCCTCCTGGGCTCATTATTATAATGCAAAATTGCAAAATTGCAAAATTATGGCTGAACTGGGTCACTGTATTTTTCTAACAAAATATGAAACACAGCCCAAGAATAATATGCTTTATGCAGATATACGTACAGTAAATCTTTTTTTCTTCACCCTGTGTTCATCAGAACTTGGGATGCTAACACTTGGGCAGCTTTCCTTGAGATCCATTTTATGTTGTCTTTAGGCAATCAAGTCAAGACCACCACACCAGGGCACAGCAGGATGCAGAAAATGTCAGCAGTACTCCTCCAAAACATGTGGCCTCCCTTGTGTAAATGTAACTTCCATCATGCAAACCTTAAAAGCAAATGAAAAGTAAGATCAACTGGCAGGTGGTTTCATTCATGACAAAAAACTAAATATTAAGTCTCGTCATCCTTCCTAAAGTTCAACTTCCTAGGTTTGAAGAGCTAACAAGGAACAAGTAAAGAATAAGAGAGATGTACAGTACTGGGAACTGAATGGCAGTCAAGAGTAAACAAGAAACAAGCAATGTGATTATCCGGAATGTTTGGTGACAGCACATATACAGACCTCTGTCATATCTAAACATCTTTAACACTGCAACATGGTTAAAAAGTAAAAGGTGAAGCAATAAGAATATTTAGCATTTATATCATGCATTTGACATGTTCAGAAAGCTCTCAGTACATTAAGGGACAAGGGAATATGGAAGGTTAATCTACTCAAGACCCTGATGCTGGGAAAGTGTGAAGGCAAGAGGAGAAGGGGACGACAAAAGACGAGATGGATGGACACTGTCATTGAAGCTAACAACATGAATTTGACCCAACTCTGGGAGGCAGTGGAAGACAGAAGGGCCTGGTGTGCTCTGGTCCATGGGATCACAAAGTCGGACACAACTTAACGACTAAACAACAATCTGCTCAAGGCCTCAACCCATCAAGGAGAAAGCAGAGTAAACAAAAACAACTCCATCACCCAGGATGCTGCAGCATTTACCCACTCTTCTCCTTCCTCTTTGGAAAGGATGCAGCATGGGCAAAGCTCATCACCATCATGTCTGATCAGAAATAAAAGCAGGAGTTCTTCCACTCAGCTGGGCCTTCCAGATTGGAAGAGTGAATTCCCACTGTTACCTCCAATTTCCCACTTCCTGCTAATAGAAATATTTCAGCAGCACTGGAATGGAGTAACAGATCTCCTCATGTAGCCTGTTAACACCTCCAAAAAAAGTCATCCAGAGGGCCTGGAAACCCTTCACAGCTGATTTACAGTATGTGGAGAGTTGCACAGCAGAAAGGTCAGGAAGAAATTTCTTTCGTCCCAGTGGGCTCCTCTGGTGTTAAGACTGAACATAAACCCACTGTCATTCAACATCTTTGCACAAGACTTGGATTCATTTGTTATATCTCACATATCTCATCAAAGCAACCTTAGTAAAAATGGCAACTCCTGTTTGAAAAACCCCCAGCAATTACGTATTTTTCGCTCCATAAGACGCACAGACTTTCCACACCCCTGTTTTGTGGGAAAAAAGTGAGTCTTATGGTGCAAAAAATACAGTATGTGAATCTCTCTGTAGCACTAAAGGGGCAAACATAGGGCCCTTGCATGTCAGAAAACATTAAATATGAATGTGTGCATTATTATATAGTATTAGCAATGCTGGTATAATTTAAAGTTGTAAATCTACAATGTCCATTTATATAAAGGTACCCTTGCAGTCATTCAGGCTGAGGGCTACAACTTCATATTTCTCATTTTAAAACAGAAATATGTCATTGAACTGCAGATGCTCCCAAGTGTTTTCAAAAAGTTTATGTGATGTAATTCTCCTGTTAGGGAGACACCCTGTTTGTGTTGGCTGAGGGGACAAAGTTCTTTAAAATTTAGTTAAGCGATTTGTTTCAAACATCCAGCTAATAATTTATACAATATGATGACCTAGTTTGGCCTTATGTGCCCAACATTCTCTTACTTCAAGATTTGGTTCCTTTTTGAGAAATGTAAATTTAGTAAAATACCATTTTTAAAATTTTAGATGGAAACCTGATAAAAAAGAACACATTATTATGAAGGGAAATAGAGAAAACAACAACCTTTTCTACTGATATGTACGTGCTTAATTATTTTTAATTTGTATTTTTATCAATCCATTCAAAATAGCACAACAGAACCATATCTATTGCACTACTGTAATAGTAAATTTCTTATTTATAAACTCTTATACCTTCATATAAACACAATGTTTACATTATCTCTTTATCTTTTCACGTAGTCTCTTCTGTGGCTCATTACTGCAATTTTACTGTATGTCTAGCTGATACCGGTTAGAATAGCCAACAGTCCAATCTATTTTCCTCTTTATTTACTCTTTTTTTTTGGCTTCCATATCAGATTTCAACATGAGGTGCCATATCTTCATAAACTTATCTTGTTTAATCTCCTCTCTGTACAATCTGACCCGATTAGTCAGTTTCTCCATTAGCGCCACTGCCCATATTTTATCATACATCTTTGCAAAATGAGGTCCTGAGCATCTTTCCAGCATTCTGTGCTGCCCCTGTAAGAGTTGCCACCGTTTCTTTATTTGATAAATGTTCATTTCCTTCAATGAATAGTGAGAATAATAATAAAGTTTCATTTGGAATTGTTTTTTGATTTGTTATTTTTTTCTAGCCAAACTAATCACATGTGTTTTAATGTTCCTTTATGACCACACTTTTTCCAGCACAATTCTGGTACCTCTCTATTAATTTTAGGACCTAGGTACCACCTGTAGACTAGCTTAAAATCTAGGGTAATATTTAAGCACTTTCAAATCCAACAGATATCAAAAGACTATTTAAGCATACAATTAAATGCCTCACAATATCACTTAAAATGTGCTTAAGGATGGTTGTATTATGGCTACTTTTTGGTCAGTATCACACTGTGCAGCAGAACAAATCCAAGCTGCTGCAGTTCTTACTATTCTGTTGTGTGGTTTTCAGATTACATCATGATTTCTTTTAAACATTTAATCTCATCCATTGCCCCTCTATTATCTAGTATTTCACACAAACTGAGCAAAACATTCCTTTCCTGTAAAGCATTCTAATTTCATTTGAATTACTTCAAAATGATATTTCTAAATCAAAAATATCTTCCTCTAATGCTCTTTTTAAATTTAATGCCCTCCAGAGGAGTTGGAAAACAGCATTCATAATCCTGGGAGCAGGAGTCCAAACCATTCTAGAAGACCCTGCTCTGTGGAAACTCGCTCTACAACAGTGACCCACATTTCTGTGCACACATGTACTGTACATCTATTTACCTTCTTTCTGTTTTCAGAAAATTAAGCAGTTTTGTTTGATGAATATAAAGCTATGAAAACCATCATGGCATTCTGGATAGAGTACTGTATTGGACTTGGAAGCCTCGTCTTGAATGGTAGGAATTAGTAAAACAAGACAGCTTATTAAAATATGCTATTTTTAAGGTACAGAGTATTGTAAAAATAAACAGCAAGAATATTTTGACTTTTGTTTCCTTTGTCAGGTACATGAGACAAACAAAGACCAGGCAGCAGCTCTTTGCCATTAAGAAACAGGCACTACTCTACATACTTTCTGGAGAAACAGAGGACTAAAGTGATCAAATTCAATAAATGAGATCATTCAGGAAAGGTGGAAATCCATGTGCAATTACCGCTACCTCTGAAAACAGGAAATAAGAACAGATGTATATTGCAGACCTTCATAGCATCCATAGAATGCATTTTGATCTGTCCTTTCTAGCTACTGCACTGTTTCTGGGGAAACAATATCCTTCCGATTTCAGCTAACTTTAAGATGTTATTCATTCAGCCAAGGCAAAATTAGAGAATTATTTAGGAAAAAATAAGATGGTATGCATATTAATATCTTTGTCAAGACATGAACCAGAATTAATAATTTTCAGAGAATGCACCTTAATCAGAAGAAAAGATTGCACAATATTTTTAATATCTGGCAAATGGAAAGAAAAATCTCATTGACCTAAAATAGGTTCTTCAAGAAGGAACAAGGTTGCAATAGCCAAGAAAGGCAGATACTATGGCTTGTCTTGAGGACAATCTCATGTTATTTGGGTGTTCTTGATTGTTCTGAGACCTATCTTGAACTGAGCACAGCTTCTGGAAGTTCCACAGACAGCCTCCTCTCATACAGCCTTGCCTCCTTTGACAGTAGCGAGATGCACAACAAGATATAACATGCACACAGCCATAGCCTTTCGCTTCAGACAAGTTTTATTCTGAGTGGGCCTCATCTCAGATCTTCAGCCAGGTCAGGTAAATTCCTCACTGTAGTACATCACCGACTAGAAAATTGGTTTTGAGATTAAGTACAGTAGTTTGCTGTTCTTCTACACTTCCCTTAAGTGGTGGCATGACCCTGTCAAATTAGATTTGAGGATGGGAATAAATGTGGTAAATTACTTACTATTCAACCCATTTGATTCCAAGAGGCTGAAGAATACACTGCACACAGAAGTCCAGGGAATAAATAATTTCTAACTCACAAATGATTGCAAAAGTGTTAGTGTATATTGAACACACCAAACTAAGGTTCCCAAGAAACTCAGCATAAAGCAGATATGGGGGCTTGAGTCACGGTACTTGCTGTTAAGTCAGACTTAAGTTGCACTGGCGACTTGACTCGTACTTGACTCAGTGTTTTCCCCCCTCAGACTCGACTCGGAACTTAGAACCCACTCACCCTCCCTTTTTTCCAGGGGGGGGGGAGACTTTCTTTAATAGGGATTCAGACTTGGAACTTGATACCAAAGACTCAGACCCAAAGATCTGCCAACATCCCTTATAAAAAGTAACGTATTTTTCACAGTCCAGGTTGGTGACATAGCAAGATATTCTGCAGATTGAGAACATTGTTCAGACAAAAACTTCACTGCAACAGAATGGTCTGAACCAATTAATGCTCCTCCCACATACAAGCTATAACTTTTACTGCAATTATTATAATAGCAACAATGTTTATTGTAAGTTTTTCTCTATGAATTATTTATTAAGATTATCTACTATAATCTACTACCCCGCCCCGAGTAGACGTTGTCTAGAGGGGCGGGGCAAAAACCGAATGAATGAATGAATGAATGAATGAATGAATGAATGAATGAATGAATGAATGAATGAATAAATAAATAAATAAATAAATAAATAATTTAAAGCAACGCTGGAAAAAGGAAATATGGAAAGTTTTGATTGCATATTTAACTGCTTACCGTTAAATTTATTATAACAGAAATCATAAGCAAAGTGACATACTTGAAAGGATTACTTACCTTGCAGTCTCTCAAGAGTGAGGTACAAATCTAGAGACAGGTAATATCAACAGTAATAGGTTTTGCAATGTCCAGATGAGACTGTTTCTGGCTGGAGGACAGACCTATATGGAAAAAAAAGAGAGAAGGATTTTAAATGAGACAAACTAACCAGTATCTCTTGTTAACTCTCATATCTTTACAGTAGTTATTAGAGATGGGGGTATTCGCATATGAATACCCATGCACAGCTGGATGTAACAAGGTTCCAGCCCCCTGGGGCCGGACCGTCCACTCACACGTCTGCTACTGGCGCTGGCTCCACTCTCCCTTCCAATAGTTCCAGAGCTCACAGTCAGTTATCCACTTCTTACCTGGCAGGGAGACTTGTCTTCCCTCCTTCTGCCAGGAGCGGATAGCCAACCGCGAGCTCCTAAGCGATCGGAGGGAGAGTTGAGCCAGCATAAGGGAAGACTCCATTTTCTATTTGATGCCTCTTCTATGTACCCAACAAGAATAATCACGCCTATACACAGCTGGTGAAGAGCCAAGTGTACTACCAACCCAAGTTTTTAAAAACTGAGATTGACAAGGCTTGGTCCTCCACTTGTATCTTATTTCCTCAATTTTCAAGTCACTTTGCCAAGCCCTTGCCATTTTCCATTCCAAATTACACTAGGATTTTGCAGTTAATCCCACTGTTTTGGGTACCACATGTAAAGAAGAGATTGATATTTCTGTAGCTAATTTAAAGTCCTGTAGTATCATCTCAGTGAGTCCAAGAAACAGAAACCTATAGAGCACTTAGCAAAAAGGCAATGTGGTTTATAAGGAGGCCAAGAGCCAACAATGTGTATCAATAGTATGCAACATTTGCAGAATTAGAACTTTCTACTCCTCACCTCTCTTTAGCTCTCTGGGACATCAAAAACCTGCTCTAGAGGGTCTCCCAGTCCTCCAGATAAAGTTTTCAGGATCCAGGGTGGGTGTTTTAGGAAAGTATGGCTTATTCTGATAGAAACTACCAGATCCTGCATAAATACAGTATAACATTGAATCTTGTACACAGAATGAACTGGCAAATTCAGCAGCTCTTTAAACCTCATAGTCATGTTAAGCGTTTGTTCCCTTTTGAGTACCTGACTATGAATAATTCAGCTAGCGGTTGAACTATGCAGGTCAAAGATATTGAAACAACACATAGAAGGAAACTGTGTTAGAAACAACAGATAGTGCAAGTACCAGAGTTCCAGAATTGGGAAGAAACAGCATCCTGTTAAATTATATCAAAAATATTTATAGGATTTTAGAGGAAAGGGAAGAGACTTCCCTTCCTTAAGAAAATTCATGGGCTACATATAAAATGTTTAAATATCAATATGTGCCATTGTTATTCACTACAAACATTTCAAACAAAGCAATACTCTCCTTAAGAGAAGCATAATGAGGAACTGAAAACATCATTACACTTAAAAAATCAGGACCTGAAATTATAAGGAGATGACACACCACTGAGAAGGAAATTGGTTAGGTTTTTAAAGCAAATAAATGTCCTTGGTGTTTCTAAGGCTGGAAAGTCCCACTTTCCAATTGCATATTTGAACACACGTGCACACATTTTTCTCTTTGCAAATGAGAGGTCGCCTGGCAGGAGACACCTGAAAATCTTCTCCTCTCCTGGCCAGCTGTATGATAATGTATGCTCCTTTTACAGTGGAAGATCTGTCTCACACTAGCATTCAGACTGGAAATTAGCTAGTCACACTGCAGGCAAGGTCATGCTAACATGATCTAGGATAACCACATACTAACCCACTTTTTTATTATTAGGTGGTATAAACAGGCCCATCTTTCTGAGGCTTCACTGAATTGCTCAAACTTTAAACATCTTCAGCCCATCACTCCAGCTCTCATGCAGCAAGGACTAGATCATACAAAGAATGATTAATAAGGATCATCTCCCCTGCCCCTTAACTCTGTCTTGAGCTCTAGTACCTCTTTCATTATGAACTAATCTACAGCACATACCAGTGGATAAATACAGTGGTGCCTCACTTAACGATTGCCTTGTTTAGCGATGAATTCGCATAACGATGTGTTTTTTTAGAAAATAATATGCCCCGTATAACGATGTTTCCTATGGGTGATTTTCGCTTAGCAAAGTTTGGGACCATGCTTCGCATAGCAAATGCGATTTTAGGTCCCCTGCTTCACTTAACGACGTTTTTTTTTCCAATTAAAAAAGTGTCTTAGAAGGGTCAAAAACGGTTCTAAATGCTTGGATTCGTTAGAGGACCCCCTAAGTCATGTGCAAACCTGATTTGGCTTTGATCTGACTTTTCGTTAATTTATGGTTAATTTTTTTTTCGGCCCATAGGAACCAATGGACCTGTTAAAATCTGACAGCTCCATGCTTTCCTATGGGGGAGAAAACAATTCGCCATAAATTAACGAAAGTTCAGATCAAAGCCAAATCAGGTTTGCACATGACTTAGGGGGTCCTCTAACGAATCCAAGCATTTAGAACAGTTGCTGAGTCTTCATTAATTTTTTGTGAATTTTTTCTTCCCCCATAGGAAATAATGGAGCTGTCAGATTTTGACAGCTGTCAAAAGTTGGGGGGAAAAATTCACCATTAATTAACGAAAAGTCAGATCAAAGCCAAATTAACTTTTGCATCCGTTTTAGAGGGTGCAGAAGCTAATCCAAGCATTTAAAACCATTTTTGCCCCTTGTATGACACATTTAAAATTGCAAAAATTGACTTCGCAAAGCCATTGAAATGTATTGAGTCAGCTTCAATACATTCCAATGGAGGAAACATTGTTTCGCTTAGCGATGTTTCCTATGGGTTTTTTCGCTTAACGACGGCAATCCGTTCCAACTGGAATGGATTAACCGGTTTCCAATGCATTCCTATGGGAAATGGTGTTTCGCATAGCGATGGTTTCAAATAGCGATTTTTTTGGAACGAATTAACATCGCTATGCGAGGCACCACTGTAATTCCTCAGTATGCGATACTACCCCAAGATGTTGCAAAATTAAACAAACCTCAATTACCAGAACATGCACATCTCATGCAACCATATTATTTCACTGTGCCGCTTGCCCACCTTGACCCCAGTGGAAAAGAAGTAAGACTGTGCTCTCCCAGTCCAGAATATATATATACAGTGGTGCCTCGCACAACGAGCGCACCATAGAGCGATGAATTTGCTCTACGGTGACGCTTTTGCGATCGCTAAAGCAATCGCACAACGATGGCCCCAATGGGCAAAAATCGCAGAGCGAAGGTCGGTAAGCTGCTCGCTTACCGACCTTCGCTTTGCGACCCGCCGATCAGCTGTTCGGCGGGTAAAAAATGGCCGCCAGAACAGCCGAAAGGGGCCGGGGCGCAGTGTTTTCGCGCCCTTGGTAAGCAAGGGGAGCGCGCGAAAACGCTGCGGACGCCCCGAAATGGCTGCGTTCTGCGAGGGGAGGGCGTGAAAATGGCTGCCGCCTATGGAGGAACTTCGCTGAACGGTGAGTTTGAAAGCCATAGGAACGCATTGAACAAAGTTCAATGCGTTTCTATGGCTTTTTCCCTCCCGCACAGCGATGTTTCCCACAGCGAAGGTTAATCCGGAACGGATTAACCTCGCTGTGCGGGGCACCACTGTATAAGCCTCTCCTTACACAGCCACCTAATAGTGGAGGCTGAATGACAGAGGGGAATGAAACTAAGGTAAAATACAAGTAAAAAAAAAAGACCAACAAATCGAATCAATGGAAATTTAATGTATACCAGTCTAAGTTCCAATAAGTCAACAGGGCTACACTAATCTGGACAAACCACTGGATTAGGTCAAAATGGCAAGCAATGTTTGAGGTGCCACAACTCTCTTTGTTGCTCTTATTGCAACAAACACAGGTAACCTGGGAAATTTCAGGAACAATGCATTCCAGTGCACAATTTTATTCCAGTTTATGAGGCATGAATATGGTATGTTTGCATAAAATTTAAATTGAGATAACTTATCTCCTATTCTTGCACTTTTCATACTATTCACATGCTATCTACTGGGCCCCTTTGCTATTTTTAACAAGAAATAAGGACAGCTAAGCTGGGCACAGCTATCCAATAATCTTATACTGGTTTTATACAGATTCACTTGTAAGGGCTTTCCCTAGAAGTTTTTGATAATCTATAATGGACAACATCTACTTAAAAAACTGTCCATGTCATTGTTCTCCTAGCAAACAGAGTGTCAACTACGAGCCACACAGTTCTCTTGTGAAAAGAGGAAGCTTATTTTACAGTTTTCCTTTCAGGGAAGGAAAGTGCTACATGGCAGCCATACTGATATGCAAGCCATGCAAGTACAGTGGTGCCTTGACTTACGAACGCCCTGACCTACGAACATTTTGAGTTACGAACAGCTCCAGATGCGAAATATTGCTTTGAATTACGAATGGAGCTTTGACTTACAAATGAAAAAAAAGTGGAGCAGGCCAACAAAGAGGCTGCTTGTATGCTACCTTGATTGTCCCAGAGATTAGTGGTTAGATAGGGAAAGAGTCTTTAGACAGCCTGGTATTGCCTGGTACAGTACATTGCCTGGTACTGTACTGTATTTTTTTATTTTTGGATTTTGGATTTTTGGATTTTTTAACTTTCTTTTTTAAAACAAAGAGACTGCCTGTTCTGGGTGAGTATACTGTATTTACTGTACATACAGGGTTTTTGCAGCTTGGGGGGGGGAAACATTTTAAAATACGTTTTAAAAATCTGAAATGGTGTTCCAAAGGTTTATTGGGCTGCTGCAGGTCTAAAATGCAGCTTAGACTAAAGTCTCTACCCCCTCCCCGTCTCTCTATGCTCTCTTTGGAGTTCTGTGCTGGAATAATGGTTGCTGATTGTTGGTGCAAGCAGGCTTTAAAATGGTGTGTAGACTCAAGTCTCTCCCAACTCCCAGCTCTCTTTTTGTGATGAGGAGTTCTGTGCTGGAAGAATGCTTGCTGATTGTTGGTGCAAGCAGGCTTTAAAATGCAGCTTAGACTCAGGTCTCTACACCCCCTCTCTATGCTTTCTTTTTGTGATGAGGGGGTCTATGCTGGAATAATGCGTGCTGGATTCTGTGCCT